ATCAACGGAGATATTAGCATGTTCCAGAGATTTCTGTAAGTCTTTAGCTGACACTCTAGGATTCATCTTAACCTCATTGAGCATTCTGCGCTGTGCTCTTGCAGTCATCTTTTGAGGACGGCCACTCCTAGGGAGAGTAGCAACAGTGCTGAACTTTCTCCATTTATAGACCATTTGTCTTACCGTGGACTGATGAACATCAAAGCTTTTAGAGATCCTTTTGTAACCTTTTCCAGCTTTATGCAAGTCAACCATTCTTAATCTTAGGATCTTCTGAGATCTCTTTTGTTTGAGGCATGGTTCACATCAGGCAATGCTTCTTGTGAATAGCAAACTCACATTTTCTGAGTGTTTTTTATAGGGCAGGGCCGCTCTAACCAACATCACCAATCTCGTCTCATTGATTGGACTCCAGGTTAGCTGACTCCTGACTCCAATTACCTTTTGGAGAAGTCATTAGCCTAGGGGTTCACATACTTTTTCCAACCTACACTGTGAATGTTTAAATGATGCATTCAATATAGACAAGAAAAATACAATAATTTGTGTGTTATTAGTTTAAGCACACTGGGTTTGTCTATTGTTGACGTGCAGCCATGGCCAGTGAAGAGCCCGGATCTCAATCCCATTGAGCACGTCTGGGACCTGTTGGATCGGAGGGTGAGGGCTAGGGCAATTCCCCCCAGAAATGTCCGGTAACTTGCAGGTGCCTTGGTGGAAGAGTGGGGTAACATCTCACAGCAAGAACTGGCAAATCTGGTGCAGTCCATGAGGAGGACCACACCAGATACTGACTGTTACCCCCCCCTTTGTTCAGGGACACATTATTCAATTTCTGTTAGTCACATGTCTGTGGAACTTCTTCAGTTTATGTCTCAGTTGTTGAATATTGTTATGTTCATACAAATATTTACACATGTTAAATTTGCTGAAAATAAACACAGTTGACAGTGAGAGGACGTTTCTTTTTTTGCTGAGTTTATATACAGTGGGGAGAACAAGTATTTGATACACTGCCGATTTTGCAGGTTTTCCTACTTACAAAGCATGTAGAGGTCTGTAATTTTTATCATAGGTAGACTTCAACTGTGAGAGACGGAATCTAAAACAAAAATCCAGAAAATCACATTGTATGATTTTTAAGTAATTAATTTGCATTTTATTGCATGACATAAGTATTTGATCACCTACCAACCAGTAACAATTCCGGCTCTCACAGACCTGTTAGTTTTTATTTAAGAAGCCCTCCTGTTCTCCACTCATTACCTGTATAAACTGCACCTGTTTGAACTCGCTACCTGTATAAAAGACACCTGTCCACACACTCAATCAAAGAGACTCCAACCTCTCCACAATGGCCAAGACCAGAGAGCTGTGTAAGGACATCAGGGATAAAATTGTAGACCTGCACGAGGCTGGGATGGGCTACAGGACAATAGGCAAGCAGCTTGGTGAGAAGGCAACAACTGTTGGTGCAATTATTAGAAAATGGAAGAAGTTCAAGATGACGGTCAATCACCCTCGGTCTGGGGCTCCATGCAAGATCTCACCTCGTGGGGCATCAATGATCATGAGGAAGGTGAGGGATCAGCCCAGAACTACACAACAGGACCTGGTCAATGACCTGAAGAGAGCTGGGACCACAGTCTCAAAGAAAACCATTAGTAACACACTACGCCATCATGGATTAAAATCCTGCAGCGCACGCAAGGTCCCCCTGCTCAAGCCAGCGCATGTCCAGGCCCGTCTGAAGTTTGCCAATGACCATCTGGATGATCCAGAGGAGGAATGGGAGAAGGTCATGTGGTCTGATGAGACAAAAATAGAGCTTTTTGGTCTAAACTCCACTCGCCGTGTTTGGAGGAAGAAGGATGAGTACAACCCCAAGAACACCATCCCAACCGTGAAGCATGGAGGTGGAAACATCATTCTTTGGGGATGCTTTTCTGCAAAGGGGACAGGACGACTGCACCGTATTGAGGGGAGGATGGATGGGGCCATGTATCGCGAGATCTTGGCCAACAACCTCCTTCCCTCAGTAAGAGCATTGAAGATGGGTCGTGGCTGGGTCTTCCAGCATGACAATGACCCGAAACACACAGCCAGGGCAACTAATGAGTGGCTCCGTAAGAAGCATCTCAAGGTCCTGGAGTGGCCTAGCCAGTCTCCAGACCTGAACCCAATAGAACATCTTTGGAGGGAGCTGAAAGTCCTTATTGCCCAGCGACAGCCCCGAAACCTGAAGGATCTGGAGAAGGTCTGTATGGAGGAGTGGGCCAAAATCCCTGCTGCAGTGTGTGCAAACCTGGTCAAGACCTACAGGAAACGTATGATCTCTGTAATTGCAAACAAAGGTTTCTGTACCAAATATTAAGTTTTGCTTTTTTGATGTATCAAATACTTATGTCATGCAATAAAATGCAAATTAATTACTTAAAAATCATACAATGTGATTTTCTGGATTTTTTTATGATAAAAATTACAGACCTCTACATGCTTTGTAAGTAGGAAAACCTGCAAAATCAGCAGTGTATCAAATACTTGTTCTCCCCACTGTATATATATAATAAATGAGAGAGCGAGAGAGAGAGAGAGAGACAGAGAGAGATAGAGAGACAGAGAGAGAGAGACAGACAGAGAGAGAGAGACAGACAGAGAGAGAGAGAGAGAGAGAGAGAGAGAGACAGAGAGAGAGAGACAGACAGAGACAGAGAGAGAGACAGAGACAGAGACAGAGACAGAGAGAGAGAGAGAGAGAGAGAGAGAGAGAGAGAGAGACACAGAGAGAGAGAGCCTGTGAGCGCAATAGGGAAAGTGTTCTGGAACGGGGGATGGAGGGCCGGGTGTTCGAGGACCTTAGAGAAAGGCCAGGCTGTCATTAGACCCTAGAGCAAGGCCAGGCTGTCATTAGACCCTGTATAATTTATCACGAGTGTACTGTGTGGAGAGAACTTGGCCCTGGCCCAAAACTGAAATGGGCCAACTGAACAAAAACTCTCAATGACAACCAGGACTCTATTAGAGGGGTGTGATAGTGGTGATTCTTTATCCCTGACCAGGGAGTCTGGGACTGGGCCCGATTCCAGACTTCTCCTCCATCCTCCCCGTTGTCCCTCACCTTTCATGATCAGTAAACTCAAAGAAGGAAATAAACGTTTTCTAATAAGTACCCTTTGCCACTGTTCTGCTGTCAGATTTAGGACCCCCTCCAATTAAGTACTTCTCCTCAGACTGTTCTGCTGTCAGATTTAGGACCCCTCCAGTTAAGTACTTCCCCTCAGACACTGTTCTGCTATCAGTTTTAGGTTAGGACCACCTACACAGGGAAATAAACACTTTTGTAGCTCAGCTGGTAGAGCACGGCGCTTGTAACGCCAAGGTAGTGGGTTCGATCCCCGGGACCACCCATACACAAAACATTTATGCACGCATGACTGTAAGTCGCTTTGGATAAAAGCGTCTGCTAAATGGCATATTATTTATTATTATCTTCTACAACTGTTCCCTTATCAGTTATAGGACCCTCAGCCCCCTCATGTCAGTTTTATGACAGTTTTTACGTTAGAACGACACAGCCCAGACTCCATTTTACATTTTTAGTAATTTAGCAGACGCTCTTATCCAAAGCGACTTACAGTTAGTGAGTGCATACATTTTCATACTGGCCCCCCGTGGGAATCGAACCCACAACCCTGGCGTTGCAAGCACCATGCTCTACCAACTGAGCTACACGGGCCATTTGAGTGCTTACGTCAGGTATGAATCCGATCTCATTGAGGTGGTTGCTGAGCTCCGGGTCGTGGAAGGCGATCATCTGGGAGAAGACGGTGAGGTACTCTGAAACAGGTGCAGCACAGAGGGAGAGTTAAAATATAGTGAAAAAGCTATAGTGGTCCTATCTGAGGAATACTATTTATTGGTGTCTGTTACAAAACAATTATCTACGTTGTGCCCTATTGAACAAGACCCAGAAGCTATTGTGACATCAGATTAGATTGGGCATTGTCTAAATTGATATAAAAAGACACGTTTTGGTCGTTTATTGTCTCTACACAAAAACGTAACTGAGTTCAATTATTTTTATTCCAAACAAAAGTATACTAAAAACCAAGACAGACCAACACTGGTGAGATTAGATGAGACTGTGGCGGGATAATTGAGTTAAAGTGGTGTGACTGCTAAAAGACTAAAATGTAAAATGTGTTTGTTGTCCCAGTTCACCAGCCGAGCAGAAACAGTGTCTGATATTTTGTTGATCGCTACAGGGATTCCTTTCTGGTTTGTGTTCATAATCTCTCTAAATATCGTTGGTCTCAGCTGCAGCCTCCATTAAGACACATTCAAATAAGTTTGCACAGCTCAGGAACAATATGAAGCCAAAATCGAATCAACTCGGAGAAAGGCAGCCTGTTGATGTTCCTGTTGGATATTAATGTTTCTGAACACTGTGCTTATTAAAAAAGCTATGAAAGCTTACTTTTGTTGGAGGCTTAACTTACAATGACACAAAGTACTTATTAAAATGCAAAAAAAAGCTTTTGTCAGTGGCTTAACTTAACTTACACTGACGTCTCAGCTCCAGTACACTTTAAAGAAAAGTCCAGCCCAAAACTCTTTTGGTACAGTATTTGTTTCATTAGTCCCTTGTTGATATAGTTCCAAAATGTGGCAAAATGCATCATACCGGCTGTATTTCTGTATTTTGAAAGTCATAGATCTTCAAAACTTCATTGTTGGCATGCAAAACATTTTGGGACTTTATAAACAATGGACTAATGAAACGAATACCAAAAGATAGTTTGGGTGGAGTTTTCCTTTAAGTAATAAGGCAGAGAGGCTGTAGTATATTGTGAATATCACACTAAAAGGGTTGTTATTAGACAACTCATTAGTGCAGCTCTATAAATACACCTACTAGTGGCACATTTTGAACACTGAAATGTTTATGTAGATTAAAGATTGATTTACTGGGATGATGGAGGATGTTTGTTATACAAGTGTCACTGTACATGGAGAAACTCACCTTGGATAACGTGAGAGTTGTCCTTCAGGAAGAAGTTATACAGGTATTTGGGGATGAAGGCCGACATGCAGGCGTACGCCAGGGCTGACAAAAAGAACGCGGAAGATGAGGAGAAGAGAGAAGGGAGTATCAGCGATACACATTGTACTTCTGCAAATCAACAACAATTCCCTCTTTTAAGAAGGATTGGAATACCCTTACCTTCATTGTTAAAATCCAGCCAGAGGAATGGTGCACAAAGCGAATCCAAACCTGAACAAAACACAGGGTACAATTGTAAACCACATCAACACTAGAATTGAATTGGATAGGCTGGATTGAAAATGTATGACTTGACTGCCACCTAGTGGTCTATTGACCACAACACAGCATGGATGTGAGTCACAGCAACAGACAGTGACAGCAGATTGACAGAGTGAAAGACTGACCCTGCCAGTAGACCAGGTCAGGGTGAGAGACCACCCAGGCTTTGAGCACACGCCTGAACTTCCTGTGGCCCTGTGGCGAGGACAGCAGCTCGTCATACTGGTGACAGCGAGGGATGTCCACCTCAATCTGGGGGGAAAAACAAACACAGTAGAAGTGTTTGAACCAAAGCATGTGATGGATATATATCTGTTCAATATGAAATTATAAAATTGCCAAAAATAATTCATTTGCCTGATAACCAGTCCACAATGAGAAGAAGAGGTACCTGTCTGTCAGTAGGTATAGGGGTATCCTTATCAATGCTGTCATATTTGGCTTGAATGTCCCCCTGGAGAGAGAAAAAGGGATTCTAATCAACCAAACCAACTTCCCATTATCATTGCAAGGCACAGTATTAAATGAAAATCAGCAGTAAATCAAGTCCATAATCTCTATGGTTATCAGATTGATTTATCTCTACAAACAAAACAACGTATTTCTCTCTATGGTTATCCGTTTGTCCTACCTCGACTCCCAGGAGAGCAGCCCATGCCAGTCCACGTACGAGGGGAGGAATGTCCACCCTCGCCTCCTTCCACACCAGGTTCTTCTTGTATGGGTAAGCCTGTGGGACAAACAGCACAACCAGAGAATTATCTAATTATAAGATTATATTCTTAATGTAATTAAAAACTTTAATAAGCCAGACAAGTCATTGAGAAGACACTATATTTTACTAATCTGGTTGTTATAACACGTAGCTCCACTTTCATTCAACACCTGATACAATCAAGATAAACACCAAGGCCTGGACACACACCAATAGAAGACTTTAATAAAATCACCAGACAGGAACACAAAGATGAGTAAATGAGTGTGATCTCAGGACAGGGTCAATGTGACTTTCTATTCCTGGAATCATTGGGAACTGGGGGGTCTTAAAACTGCTGAGGCAGAGTGATTGAATTTGTACTGGGTTGTGAGAGAATGGTGTGTGTGTGTGTGTGTGTGTGTGTGTTAGAGCTCTGACCTTGAGGAGCCTGTCGAAGAGGATGATGCGGATGAGTTGGTATTCTGTGTCCCTCTCCCTGATGATGAGTGGCAGCGTGACGGTGCAAGACAGCTCATTGCTGCTGTTGGACTGGGACAGACTAGACTGTCTGGAGACACAGAGAGAGAGAGACACAGAGAGAGACACAGAGATAGACACAGAGAGAGAGAGACACAGAGAGACACACAGAGAGACAAGCAAACAAAAAAGCAAGAAGGGAACATTACCCATCTCCATCAGTCAGTGAAAAAAACAAGCCATAAAATGAAAAATAGAGAAGGGATATGAGAGCTGAGGACATATGTGACAATTGAGAAGTAAAAGATGAGGGGATTCTTACTCATCTTCCAATAAAGGGTAATATGCTTCTCCTGCCACGTCTTCCAGTCTCTGAAAGAGAGAAGTAAGTCAGATTTTAATTCTCAGCACACATTTTCTGGTTCATTTCGGATTCAACCATGTGGATAAAATAAACTGTTGTGAGGTGTTGGTAGTACACTGGTCATTACAGTCCAAGTCGAGACCAATGCACTATTGCAATGTATTTCTCCTGTTATTGTACGGTAATGTTAAATCTATTAGTCACAGTGATGTCCTCACATTCTTCAGCTGGCACAGAGACAGTGTGACGGTGGTGTCATCCAGGAGGAAGCTCCTGTCCCTGCCTTGGCCAAATGACTCCCCATCCTCCAGCATGAAACTAACACAGAGATTCAATTCAACATTTAATCATTCGGATGATAAACTACAGTATGGATCTACTTAATATAGTTAACTAGTTCAGATGTAAACATTATTCTAACTTTGTGCTTTAGGCTTTGCTCTACGATTCAAACAGTTAATAACTTGATCTGAAACAGTACAGTGGAAAGGCATGATGAATATAACTACATTATCTAAGACAGTAGAAAGGCATGCTGTATATAACTACATTATCTGAGACAGTCCAGTAGAAAGACATACTGTATATAACTACATTATCTAAGACAGTAGAAAGGCATGCTGTGTATAACTACATTAGCTGAGACAGTCCAGTAGAAAGACATACTGTATATAACTACATTATCTGAGACAGTCCAGTAGAAAGACGTGCTGTATATAACTACATTATCTTAGACAGTCCAGTAGAAAGACGTGCTGTATATAACTACATTATCTTAGACAGTCCGGTAGAAAGACTTGCTGTGTATAACTACATTTTCTAAGACAGTCCAGTAGAAAGGCCTGCTGAATATAACTACAATATCTGAAACTGTACACTAGGTAGAAAGGGTGTGTTGTACAGTACTTGGGCAAGGTGCAGACGGGAGGCTTGGACTGGATGATCCCCTGGTTGGTCAGTTCCTTCTCCAGGTCTCCTCCTGCCAAACACCACAGGTGGTACACCTCGTCTATGGCCCTCTCCCCCAGGTACTCCTCATCATCATCTGCGACATGATTGATAGATTGTTTTAACTGTCTAATCCATTAAAATCAGTCACATTTCAATGAATGTCATTTTATATATTTACTTAACCAGGATAGTCCGCTCGGTAACAACTGCCACTGTTTTCCAGGGATTCCTGGGTTCCATAAAATCACACACTAATGTGATGGCAGTAAACATGCTAAAAAAAGCATCAAGGATGATGCATGGTCCTCTACATGGTAAAATGTAGTCCTTTGTGGTCGTCTTTGAGATTTATCCTTTATCCATACAGCCAGGTCTTCCATGGTCAAGAAACATTTATATTTATAATGTCAACTATTCAAATATGAATCAAAGGCCAAATCACTGATGACCATGCAAAACGTTGAGAGGAGAATGAATGCCTGAAGTACTTCTCACAATCAATGCTCAGAGTGAATGATGTCGATAATTAGACCTTTGAAACAATGTCTTATTCTTAAAATGTCAGTATTGACGATACTGTAAATTAGGGTAAGCTATAGGGAGTTATGCTGTCTGTGTGTATATGTGTGTGTGTGTGTATATGTGTGCCCACGTCAGGGCATGTGTGTGTGCAGTCTGACCTTTGCAGAGCTGGCTGATGTCCTCTGGTAGCTCCAGGTGGGCACAGCGCAGGGAGGAGGAGAACAGCCCGACGGGCTGCTGGAACGGGGTGTAGAGACACGACACGCCCTCAAACACTGGGTCAACCAGCAGCTCTGCAGGGGTGGGTCTGGATGGAAGCACAGAGTGAAATCTCACACTTTACTGAACACGCATTGAAAACATATCGACGCACTTCATCAAAAGGTTCAGATTTCACTACCAGAATGTTATGTGAAGTGTTCTCAAATGTTCTCTCTAAACGTACCATGTTCTCATTTGGGCATGTTTTAGATCACTTTCGCTATGACTGAATTCTGCTTTCTTGCAGATGTTATTCACGTGTTTACCCTGCCATTACCCTGTTATTACCCTGTTATTACCCTGTTATTACCCTGCCATTACCCTGCCATTACCCTGCCATTACCCTGAGAAGGCATGGAGAATGTGCCTCCCAACAGGAAATGATAGCCAACACAATAGAGTCCAATCCACATGACATAAAACATCTCTGGTCGAGTTACCTTCTGGAGGGTAGGAAGGTCAGGCATTTCCTTAATAACGTTAGAACGTTCTCAGGCAGCTCCTGTAACAGAACGTTGACAATCGCATTAGTTACGGTACAATCCAGACCCACAGCCCCAATCTCCCTCCACTCTTATGGCTTTTCAACATCCTAAAGAAACAAAATCGCCCGAGAAAGGTTAAAAGCATTTTTACAAGGGAAACACTTCGTCTAATGGAGGGCATGTGAATTTCATTAGCACACATATACACGCTAACAGATGCGCGAGGCGCACACACACACACACACACCAGTTACAAGTTACAGTGCATTGTTTTGCTTTTTGATGAATTGTCGTCATTTACCATCACATTCGTTTCTGGAACAACAATACAGCGTATAATAAGGTGTAGTCTTATCTACAACATCATAAAACATGACTTAACCACACATTAGGCAATCTACACATTAGACAATCTACACATTAGACAATCTACACATTAGGCAATCTACACATTAGGCAATCTACACATTAGGCAATCTAGGAATTCTAGGACAATCAACCTTTCTTAGAGTGGTTTTAGTGTCGAGGGCCAGTGTAATAAATAGTGACCTGTGATTGATTTTAAACTCACCCTAATCACATCCAAGCATCCGTGCTCCTCTGCAAGGACTGTGACTATGTCGTCAATGCAACCTGAGGAAAAACACACAGACCACCATGTCATAAACAATTCACAACCCCATCATAACTAATCTGTGGCTCACCAGGCTGATGGACTTGGCAACACGTTCACTTACCCAAAGTGATGATGAATTTCAATCTCTCGCTTATTTCAATGTTCTGCAGTAGTCTTCTACCCTGTGAATAAAAGGCTGATAGTACACGAGGACAGAATGACTTCCTCCTAATCACAATGTCAAACTTTACTTGAAAGGTTGATAGTACATTAGGAGAGAATGAACCCTCTGTTCAATGGCTATATACTATTGTCATAACATCTGTCATTGACAGTCCTGACTTTTGATTGACAGCTCAATCAACCAATCAATCAATCATTAGGTCAAGACATGGTGGTGTAAGAGAGCTTACTGCACACAGCTCAAAGAGCAGGACTCCCAGGGACCACACGTCTGTCTTGGGCCCCGAGGACAGAGGGTTCTCCCCCTGGGAGGGGTCACTAGGGTGGACTGAGCCCTGGGCGATGACCTCTGGAGCCAGGTAGGACGGGTAGCTGTGGACAGAGATAGTCAGAGAAAGGGTCAAGGGTCAATTGAATACCCTGAAAGGCATAGCAAACTTGAGAGCGTTGAGGTTGTCTTGAATTAAATTCAATGAAACCTCTTTGCAACAGATACCATTTGACAATGAACAGACTTTGATGATTAATCTACCTAAATATTCCAGGAACTTCATGTTTCTTTGAAGTCATTGTTCAAATGATGTGTGTACAGTACATTGCTTCATATCAAGGAATCGCCATAAACACTAGACAGATAAAGCTTATTACATCTTCAAACCAGATGTTTTACTTGGAGATTAGATAACACAGGACATCAGAGGCAGTGGCGCACACACACACACACACACACACACACACACACACACACACACAATCATTCCCCCATTCATCAACAGGATATTACCCACAAAGACTTTCTATAACATGAGGGCCCTTGGGTTTTGGATAAGACTTCAGCTATCTATTACAGTACTTGAAACAATGGATTACTTTAATATCCAAAACCTGGTTTTCATAAACAATAGATTGACCATTACACATACATTTCATAGTAATGTCTCATTCTATTTCACTAACAGCATTTAAATACTGTGTTGTGTTCACAGAGGGACCTATGACCTCCATTATCTGAAGATCCACAGTATTACAAGTTCCAGACGTTCAAGGTTCACGTAACCGTCCATTATCATATCAGAATTTATCATAGTTAACTCTGTACAGTGGAACATGTATCGCTTTTAACCTGTGTGGCTCAATTGGTAGAGCATGGCGCTCGCAAAGCCAGGGTTGTGGGTTTGATTCCCACGGGGAACCAGTACAGAAAGAAAATGATGAAAATGTATGCACTCACTATTGTAAATCACTCTAAGACTAAAATGTTTTAAAATATATGTTTTCACTGCCTAATCTAATGTCAGTCACAATGTAACTGCTTTTCAAATCTATTGACGCATTCTCTGTACATGGGAGGTTAGATGTTAACAGGACTTACCCAATAGGAAAGTCCACATCCGCCCCGTGGTCTGTCATGTAATACAACCCAAACTTAGCCAGCTTCACGTTGCCCTACAAAGAAACAATGTTACATATGACAATGTTCAATGTATTGATAGGCCTTATGATAATCAATAATGCATCAATAACCTGATGACAATTAGCCTGTTGAACCAGACTGAACGAGGGCACAGGTTTAACCAGGCTAGATGACAATGGCAAATGGCGTTAAAAGCCTTTCCATTAGACCCCAACTGATAGGGAAGGGAGGTAACCTACCTTGCCGTCCATGAGGACGTTCTGTGCATTGAGGGCTCTGTGAACCATCCCATGTTTGTTCATAAACACTAGTCCCTCCAAGGCCTCATAGGCTATCTGGAGAACCCTCTCTGTGCTGTAACATACAGACAAGGCCTGAGGATTATTATATACACATTATATACAGCTTGGACGTGGCTTTAGTTCCTGTGGTGTTTGGCTTGAAAAAGGTTATGTATGGTACTCAGAGTGGGCCTTTGTTTTCCAGCCAACAAAGCTACAACAGGTTATTGTGTCTACTAAATATGTATGTATTTTCCCCCCTGCCGGGTCTAAGCGTTTTAGATGAAAGAGGTTTGTGTTATTATCGGAGTCTACCAGTAGATGGCTAGGGTAGTACATAGCCTAGTCCTGTAGTAATGAAGCTATTCTTCTTCGTTCAGTTAAGCCATGGTCATTCTGCTTACAGAGAGATAGAACTGGTGAGTCCTCTGAACATTCAATAACATAGTACAATGATAATGTACTATATCTATATAGTCTTTATATTGTGTAAATATTAGACTATAAATTGTGCCGTCCTGTATTATACTTGTGTTAAAAATGTTTATTTTATTCTACTGAGCCATTTATTTTATGTTCATGTTCTTATCTTTTATTATTTCTGCATTGTCGAGAAGGAACCTGCAAGTAAGCATTTCGTTGGACGGTGTATACCAGAGATCATCAACTAGATTCAGCCGTGGGCCGATTTTTTCTTGAGCGGATGGTCAGTGGGCCGGAACATAATTACAAATAATTTGTAGACTGCAAATTGACCGCAAGAAGCCCAAACAGATATAATATTTGACTAAAACAGCCATTTCAAAACCTTGCTTACAGTTGTATACGATCACATATACAGTATCTCTCTATAATGCGTGGGAATACTTTGGAACAGATTCCAAAATTAAAATCTGCCAGTTGGGGAACCCTGTATGACTAATAAAAAACGTGAAACTTGAAATCATACCTGACAGTTTGAACCTGTTTCTGGAAATCATTTAGACTGCTTTCGTAGTGTTCCGTCACAACAACCAGTCGTTCTGGAAGAAGAAGAAAAGGGTGATAAAACTCAAGATGTGAAATGGTCGATCAATTTGACATTGGTCAGCCCCACCATTTTATTGATTTATATGTTTAAAATGTGTGATTTCAAAACATCTCAATTTTACGGTCTGCTGCTTGTTCTCCATTTTTTTAGCGGTAGGGCTGTCATTTTGTTGTTTTTCCAATGAAGGAGTGTGCCTTTAAATTAAAGGTTAAGCCTACACCATGATTTGTTAAACAGCCAGGAAGGATCTTCTAAATGAAAAGCTAGTACCATGTGTTGAGATAACACACATCTGCAATTACAAAGCTTTAAAGTTGTACATAGTCATTTATAACTTCCCGTTCACCCAGCCCACAAAAAAAAGAAGAAAAAAATGTTATCTACAAAATCTGACAACAAAGGGTCCAGGGTTCAGGACCTCAAAACATGGTTTTGACTAAATGGGATACAGTTTATGTCAGAATTGACAAGAATTGACTTTTCGTAGCAGGCTAGCAGAACTTACGCAGGTTAGGAGAATTAGGTTAAGGTTAGGAAAAGGGTTTGGGTTAGCTAAAATGCACCAAAAAAAAAGTAATTATGACATCAATTTGACATAAACTGTATCCCGTCTAGCCATGACCATAAAACATCTGGACATAAAGAGGATGAAACAAAGCAAGCTTTTAACAACTCAGGAAGTCCATCAAGACAGTACTGTGTATACTTTGGCCAGGAATCATTAATGTGTCAACATTACAGTGTCCTAAAAACAATGATGGGTTCCTCCAATAAAATCTGCATATTGTGGATTTGGGATCATTTCTGGTTTCTGTGAGACTTTTAATAAAACACATGCTTGTGGCAATACGTGTAGTAAACAAAAGTGTAACAAGTTAGGATTGTGCAGTTGGAGATTGCCAAACACATTTAGTTATTTTACAGTGACTCGGATGTAACACAAAACAACACTACAAAAAAAACGGACATTGTTGAAAGCTGAGAGAGTCTCTTGAGGAGCTGTAACCTGTGATGGTGTTTCTCCATATTTACTCAACTGTAAATGACAAAACGGGGGTACAAGTCTACATTTAAACTTATGGATATGACCGCAATGAAGTCAAGATTATTTGGTGCTTTTCCAAATAGAAAGGGGAGGTCAAGGCTCTGTTGGAATACACTGAATGCACACCGTTCCTTCTGAATGCACACCGTAAGTAAGTGTTTCACTGTTTTTATTATTATTATTATTATTATTATTATTCATTTCACCTTTATTTAACCAGGTAAGGCAGTTGAGAACAAGTTCTCATTTACAACTGCGACCTGGCCAACATAAAGCAAAGCAGTGCGATAAAAACAACAACAACACAGAGTTACATACAGTGCTATGAAAAAGTATTTGCCCCCCTTCTAATTTTCTCTACTTTTGCATATTTGTGATACTGAATGTTATCAGATCTTCAACCAAAACCTAATATTAGATAAAGGGAACATAAGTGGACAAATAACACAACAATTACATATTTATTTCATAAACAAAGTTATGCAACACCCAATTCCCCTGTGTGAAAAAGTAATTGCCCCCTAACACTCAATAGCTGGTTGTGCCACCTTTAGCTGCAAAGACTCCAACCAAATGCTTCCTGTAGTTGTTGATCAGTCTCTCACGTCGCTGTGGAGGAATTTTGGCCCACTCTTCCATGCAGAACTGCTTTAACTCAGTGACGTGTGGGTTTTCAAGCATGAACTGTTCGTTTCAAGTCCTGCCACAACACCTCAATTGGGATTAGGTCTGGACTTTGACTAGGCCATTCCAAACTTCCAATTTGTTGCTTTTTAGCCATTTTCATGTAGACTTGATTGTGTGTTTTGGATCATTGTCTTGCTGCATGACCCAGCTGTGCTTCAGCTTCAGCTCACAGACAGATGGTCTGACATTCTCCTGTAGAATTCTCTGATACAGAGCAGAATTCATGGTTCCTTCTATTAAGGCAAGTCGTCCAGGTCCTGAGGCAGCAAAGCATCCCCAAACCATCACACCACCACTGTCACGCCCTGGCCTATAGAACTCTAGTTAGTTTGGTCAGGGTGTGAATATCATGTGTGTGTTGATTCTATGTTTGTATTTCTATATTTGGCTGGGTGTGTTTCCCAATCAGAGGCAGCTGTCGCTCGTTTCCCAATCAGAGGCAGCTGTCGCTCGTTGTCTCTGATTGGGGATCATACTTAGGCAGCCAGTTTTCCCTGCCTGTGTTGTGGGATCTTGTTTTGTGCTTGGTGAGTTTGGCTTGTGTGTATAGCCTTCCGACGTCACGTTTCGTTGCCTGTTGTTGTTGTTTTGTATGTTTATTCGGTTTAATAAACATGGATGCATTTCACGCTGCGCCTTGGTCTGACCCGTCCTTCAACGTCCGTGACAACCACCACCATGCTTGACCTTTGGTATGATGTTCTTACTGTGGAATGCAGAGTTTGGTTTTCGCCAGGCATTACTGGAACCATGTCGTCCAAAAAGTTATACTTTTGAATCATCTGTCCATAGAACGGTCTTCCAAGACTCTTGATGATCATCCAGGTGCTTTTTGGCAAATTTGAGTCAACTTTTTGGACGAGATGGGTCCCATTATGCCTGGCGAAAACCAAACACTGCATTCCACAGTAAGAACATCATACCAAAGGTCAAGCATGGTGGTGGTGGTGTGATGGTTTGGGGATGCTTTGCTGCCTCAGGACCTGGACGACTTGCCTTTAATAGAAGGAACCATGAATTCTGCTCTGTATCAGAGAATTCTACAGGAGAATGTCAGACCATCCGTCTGTGAGCTGAAGCTGAAGCACAGCTGGGTCATGCAGCAAGACAATGATCCAAAACACACAATCAAATCTACATGGAAATGGCTAAAAAGCAACAAATTGGAAGTTTTGGAATGGCCTAGTCAAAGTCCAGACCTAATCCCAATTGAGATGTTGTGGCAGGACTTGAAACGAGCAGTTCATGCTTGAAAACCCACACGTCACTGAGTTAAAGCAGTTCTGCATGGAAGAGTGGGCCAAAATTCCTCCACAGCGACGTGAGAGACTGATCAACAACTACATTTGGTTGGAGTCATTGCAGCTAAAGGTGGCACAACCAGTTAGAGTGTAAGGGGGCAATTACTTTTTCACACAGGGGAATTGGGTGTTGCATAACTTTGTTTATGAAATAAATGAAATAAATATGTAATTGTTGTGTTATTTGTCCACTTATGTTCCCTTTATCTGATATTAGGTTTTGGTTGAAGATCTGATAACATTCAGTATCACAAATATGCAAAAGTAGAGAAAATTAGAAAGGGAGCAAATACTTTTCCATAGCACTGTATGGAATAAACAAAACGTACAGTCAATAGATATCTATATACAGTGTGTGCAAATGTAGTAAGTTATGGAGGTAAGGCAAAAAATAGGCAATAGTGCAAAATAATTACAATTTAGTATTAACACTGGAGTGATAGATGTGCAGAAGATGATGTGCAAATAGAGATACTGGGGTGCAAATGAGCAAAATAAATAACAATGTAAATAACAATATGGGGATGAGGTAGTTGGGTGGACTAATTACAGATGGGCTGTGTGCAGGTGCAGTGATCGGTAAGCTGTTAGTCTACACTTGTTGTTTATGAAGAATTTGACAAATACAATTTTATTTTATATTAACAGGCACCCAGTCATATAGTAGATGCCGAAGGGAAGGGGATTTGATTTAAAATCTGCTATCTGTCTGTCACGTGAGTACCAATCTCCCCTAGTCCTCTTTAGCTTCACTCTACATCCCACCCTCCCAATACTAGGATATTTCTGGTAGTGGAGTATTGTCACAATAACAGTATCGGGATACTATGATACCTGATTTTCCATGGATTCTTCCCTTCTTCACAATCACTGAAAGCCAGATACAGTCGAATAGAGGAAAGCAAGGATTCCACTACATATCTTTCACCAATCCAGTTTTGCCTATTTAAGTGCTATATCAGTGCTATACCAGTGCTGGGTTCAGTGCATTCAGAACACTTTTACTCCCAAGGAAGGTAGGTTGAGGGAGTGATCCACTTTCACAGTATCAAGAATAGGACCCCACAAGACCCAGTGACAAACAGACAGAGATGGATAGTCCTACCATGCTTCCCTCTGGAGATGTCTACGTACTGGCAGAGCCTGGGGTGGGTAATGGTCTTGAGCAGCTGGAAACGGCCCAGGATCTTGATGGAGTTAGGGGTGAGGGGGAGGCCGTTGCTCCCGCACACATCGTGGGGAAGAGCGGAGGCAAAGAAGGTGAAGGCCCCTAGCTGGGCATCTCTCAGTGGCCTCATGACTGCTCACTGCTCCAGTGTCCACTTCAGACTCACAGTTGACAGCTCCAGCACCAACACACACCCTATGGAAAACACAAAGACATTAGAGGCAGTGAAACAAATGATGAACAGTTTGGCTCATGTTTACAAAACACTAATTTTAATTTGATTTGAAACTATATCTAAACACAACAGACGTAATGTAGCTAAAATACAAGTTATATCACAGCTTTTAAACGCAGAAATAATTTCAGACATAACACAAAATAATGGTTACCACACACTTTCATATCCTCTTCATTTATTTTGTAATCTTGTACAAGCATGACCTAATAGTGTATTTAGGGAGACATATAACTTGTGGATACAGGCAGCTAGCTAAATCGAAAGCTAGCGACAGTGCTGCAGTTATCTTGTACAAGAAGGGATGCAGTATGCAGAAAACAATGAATGAATAAAACTGCAAGAACGACTTTTCGAAATTTCAATGAATACTTACGTTTAGTGAACGTCTGTCCTCATATCCAAACAATCCTGACCGTATATTTTGATTTATTTTGCAGAATCTTCTCTTTCTCGGGATGCGGTGAGCAGCTGAGAGGTAACGTGACCGATTACGTCAATTTTCAGCGACGAAGCTCAGCTGTCAAAATAATTTGTAAACATTGCAACCGTGCTTACCAATTGCTGTTTGTAGCTTTTGGTTAAATGTATATATTGCTCAGTGTTTATATTGACAAACCAAATGATACAACAGGTAGCTTACTTTATCTGCATGTCTTAATTTTCTATGCCTGATCAAATCTCACAAACAATGTTTCTACAAAAATAACTCAAAATTCGTAGAACGATTCTTGCTATGTTTTTATTTAGTATTTTCTTTAAATGTTATTTACAAATTACTTCTGAATGTCAAATAATACATACATTTACTGGATACGCAGGCACTAGCAAGTTAGCCCTAAAATCATAATGAACATATAAACTGGGCAACTGCAGCGCATATATCAAATGTCTAATCATATGGATAGAGAATGCATACCAGCATGCCCGAGCTAGCCAGAGGGTATGCAGACCAGTGATACTGCGCATGGGGGGCACGTGGGTCTTTTCTCGAACAGCTGTGGGGTTCGAAGTTCCACTCTCCAAAACGTGTCAATCACAGGCAGACGGTCATAGTTTGATGTAAGTTGAATGCATGTTTATTTTTGATCTTTCGTTGTCTATTTTTCAATTCAGCCAGTTATTTCTGAATTTGGTATTTTAGAGTTAGATCGATGCAACCCCTATTGCTAAACTGAGCTAGCTAACGTTAATGTTTCACCACAGATATAACCATATATATCCGGCGTCACCAAAAAACGTTTCCGTCAGCAAAAGGATATGTACAATTTCTAGGATTCTCTTCATTTACCAGACAAAGTGAAATGTGGCACTGGCTAACAAATAAATGTCCGAATCCAACTTTTGTCCAAACAACACCAAATGATTGTGAAGTTAGACAGCGGGCTGCCATTAGACCACGCACTTCATGCGAGACTTAGTTCCTACCACTCTTACACAGCAGGAATATGGAGCGGTTTGGACAAAAGTTGGATTCAAATCTATATTTGATAGCGAGGGACACATTTCACTTTACGTCTGGTAAGTGGAGTTCTTAGAGATGATACATATGCTTTTGTTGACAGGAAAGCCGGCTATTTTGTGGTAGGGTTATTTTCAGTCGCCACCCACCAGCTCAGGGAGTCCAACCAAGGCTACATTCGTAAATTCACTCTGGCTATCTACTCCGATTTCAGAGCACTCTCGTCTGAGTGTGCCAGAGCGCAGAATAATTGATGCATTTACGAACACGCAACACCCGTTGAATATGACTGGTGTCAGTAAACGTCTACAAAAAACGTAATTCAGTTGTTGCCAGCAACACAGTTACAGCAACCAACGCTCTAGATAACATGAAAACAGCCTAACCATCTCTGCTAGGGCGAGTAAAATGGTTAGAGTGAGGTATAATCTAATTTGTGTCTGGAAGTAGCTAGCCAACTTTAGCCAGTTAGCTTGGGTGCTTGACTGCCGGTGTGAGGTCAGAGCGCTCGGATCAACCCTACTCCTCTACCAGAGTGTCCAGTGTGCGCTCTGAACGCTCCAAGAGCTAAACGCGCTGAATTTACGAACAGACAATCTGACAAAGCTCTGAATTTACGAACGCCCGGAGCGCATTCTGGCACTCCAGAGTGAATTTACGAACACACCCCAATACAGACTCCCGATGTTGTGTCCCAAAGCTAGCTAGTCCCGTCATTAACTGTCATTTCAAACATAAATGAATAGAACAACATTTAAATGCTGACCAAGTGTCAAAGTAGAGTAGAGGCTGTGAAGGCATGTAAGTAACAAGAATGTCCCTAGTCCCAGCCAGAACTGTCTTGGACAGAACCACAACATTTTGAAAATTGGAGAATGTCATGCAAAGTCACTGGCTTCCATCAAAACAACCCCATCATTGTCCCAAACCATTATAATCTATCAAGTGACTGATCTGTTCAGATATCAGTCAGACACATTTTACTGTAAGTGCACCCTTCATTATATATGTGAATATCAGTCCCAAAAGAAAACCATGCAGTGCACTGCTGGCATCAGTTATTGCCATATCAGCATATTCCTTTAATAGCCTCTAAAGGTCTAAGCTGTTGTACTAAGCAAACAATGGAATTGTTTTAAGATGGTCATACCATGGATCATTCAGCTATTTGATTTATAATTTTAGGATCCTGTTAGGTATCAGAAAAAAATATTTGTAAATGATTTGATAAAATATTGAATTTGGACTTTACTACTATAGCCCATAGCATCCACACATTGAATAACACATTCATAAATGTAAGAAAATACAGTAAAACATTTCATCATAAGGAATAAGGTTTTGAAATGTGTGTCCTATATCTAGGAGATATAAGAAAGATCAGAAAATATTGTAGTTTTTTTGGACACATAACCCCTTATTTCTGTTGGCACAAAACTACCTCCATACTTCCATTTGTTTGTATGGGTTACCTTCAGATGAGTCCGGTGACACAGAGAACACCATGGTGTTTGTGAGAGTCTCCCCTTTCCATAGAGTGGTCATAATAGTTTGTAGGCCAAACTGTTCATGCCAAACACTGCTGTAGCTCGGCCACCTTCCACCATAGATGCTGAAGGCCGACATAGGCGGATGCGGTGGATTGAGACGCAGCCCATGCTAGAAACCTGACATCTCTAGCTTAAACTGACAGACTTTGATGTGGCTTTTTCTTATGTTACTTAGATTGATAGACTCTTACGGATTTGAAGTGCCAAAAACACTTTGGGCAAGCACTGTAAACAATAAACATATTGTTTGCATTATTGCTAAAAAATCCTACTCCCATTCAGTAAGGGACGGGTTATACTAGGGCTATTGGGCTGGACGACCAACTGGTGCTGAGACTGACTCCTTTGACCGCATCCACGTATTTCAACACCAATGCCTACTGAGTGATGACATTATGACGGCAAGAAAGCCAGCCAGCGAGAGAGTGATGGAAAGGCCAAAGCCGCAGTTCAAAGCTGTTCCTAATATCTGTCCCTTATAAGAAAAAGCCTTGGTCCCTTTTAAAGTGTTCAGATCTATGCTGGCCTGCTGTGGCCCACACTGTTCTCATTGCCTCACAAGCAGCCTGGTGTTTCCATCTCATCTACACACACACACCCCTCACAGTGGAGACTAAGGGTGCGTTCGTAAATTCACTCTGGATGCTCTGCCCTGAAATGCGAGCGCTCTGGTTCGAGCGTCTAGAGCGCTTGATAATGAGGAATTTACGAACGGACAATCTGACAACGCTCTGAATTTACAAACGCCCAGAGCGCACTCTGAACACTCTCTGCCACTCCAGAGTGAATTTACGAACGCACTCTTAAGTGACCCTGGTACACTAGATCATGCCTAGATCCTCTATCTGTTTTTCTTCCTCCACCACCAGCTGTTTCCCTTTAGTTAACACTATCAACGTTTCGTCCTACTGTGGCAAACTGGGAACGGCTGGTGGTGAGGGAAGAAAAACAGATAGAGAATCTAGGCTTACTTCTACTACCACACAACGCCTTGGTGCTTCTGTTGTCGCTGTTCCCCAAAGAGAGATGAAAGGGTACACATACTTTTGAGGTCTCTTGCTTTTTATGCTTTTCTCACTATCACCCAACTGGGAAAACCTGGAGCTAGATCCTACTTGGACTAGGCCTATCACCCAACTGGGAAAACAGAGCTATCTCCTACTTGTACTAGGCCTATCACCCAACTGGGAAAACGGAGCTAGCTCCTACTTGTACTAGGCCTATCACCCAACTGGGAAAACGGAGCTAGCTCCTACTTGTACTAGGCCTATCACCCAACTGGGAAAACGGAGCTAGATCCTACTTGTACTAGGCCTATCACCTAACTGGGAAAACGGAGCTATATCCTACTTGTACTAGGCCTATCACCCAACTGGGAAAACGGAGCTAGCTCCTACTTGTACTAGGCCTATCACCTAACTGGGAAAACGGAGCTAGCTCCTACTTGTACTAGGCCTATCACCCAACTGGGAAAACTGAGCTATATCCTACTTGTACTAGGCCTATCACCTAACTGGGAAAACTGAGCTATATCCTACTTGTACTAGGCCTATCACCTAACTGGGAAAACGGAGCTATATCCTACTTGTACTAGGCCTATCACCCAACTGGGAAAACGGAGCTAGCTCCTACTTGTACTAGGCCTATCACCTAACTGGGAAAACGGAGCTAGCTCCTACTTGTACTAGGCCTATCACCCAACTGGGAAAACTGAGCTATATCCTACTTGTACTAGGCCTATCACCTAACTGGGAAAACTGAGCTATATCCTACTTGTACTAGGCCTATCACCCAACTGGGAATAGTGGGTGGTGGTAGTGCAGGAAAACTGAGCTATGTCCTACTTGTACAAGGCCTATCACCCATTGCCTGGGTTGTTCCTCGAAGATGGTCCTGCGTCTGTTGTGTTGTCACTGTCCCCCTAAATAAGGTGAAAAGAAAAACAGACTTTAGGGATGAATCAAACATTTATTTTGCATGTCGTCTCTTATACCTTCCCATAGAGAATTGGAACAAGGTACGGTTCAACATCAGACTAGGCTATATTATATTGGCCACCAGCTGAGCAATAAGTTATTCATCATTCTGTATTTTCTGATGTAAGGAAGCATTTCACTGTTAGTCTACACCTGTTGTTTACAAAGCATGTGACAAATAACATTTGATTTGATATTAATAGGACACCAGTCATATAGTAAATGCCGAAGGGAAGGGGATATGAATTGACAGCTGCTATCTGTCTGTCACCTGAGTACCAATCTCCCCTAGTCCTCTTTAGCTTCACTCTACATCCCACCCTCCCAATAGTAGGCTATTACTGGTAGTGATACTATTACTGGTACTGATACTATTACTGGTAGTGATACTATTACTGGTACTGATGCTATTACTGGTACTGATGCTATTACTGGTACTGATACTATTACTGGTAGTGATACTATTACTGGTACTGATGCTATTACTGGTAGTGATACTATTACTGGTAGTGATACTATTACTGGTAGTGATACTATTACTGGTACTGATGCTATTACTGATACTATTACTGGTAGTGATACTATTACTGGTAGTGATGCTATTACTGGTACTGATGCTATTACTATTACTGGTAGTGATACTATTACTGGTAGTGATACTATTACTGGTGGTGATACTATTACTGGTACTGATACTATTACTGGTACTGATAATATTACTGGTAGTGATACTGGTACTGATACTATTACTGGTAGTGATACTATTACTGGTAGTGATACTATTACTGGTACTGATGCTATTACTGGTACTGATACTATTACTGGTGGTGATACTATTACTGGTACTGATGCTATTACTGGTACTGATAATATTACTGGTAGTGATACTGGTACTGATACTATTACTGGTAGTGATACTATTACTGGTAGTGATACTATTACTGGTGGTGATACTATTACTGGTACTGATACTATTACTGGTACTGATACTATTACTGGTACTGATACTATTACTGCTACTGATACTATTACTGGTAGTGGTACTACGTTAGCTGATTTTCCATGGCAACAAGGAAAACACAAAGCAGACTAAACTCTGTGGTCCTACTGAATGTCAAATATTGTGTGCTATAGCCTGGAAAAGAAACATGTGATTCTGGGTGACAACTTAAAGCTGCTTGTTTCCAACATTAGGACTGTTTTCCTCAGGAAATTCAATCCGCTTCATGTTCTGTTTCTTTGCCATGATACCTCTGAGTATCGCGATACTGGTGTCGTGACAACCGTAGGTAGTGGAGTGTTCAATGTTTCAGTTGCAGAGTAGAAGTGGTTTTGGAACCAGGCCTATACAGGCTTCTATAGACTTTGAGTTGGAAGTGATGATTGTTATGTTTTATCCTCTCAACCAATGTGCCCGCGAGCAGCTCACCTCGGACTGCCGCGCAGAAGAAATACGAGCCCGCGCAGAGAAGCACGTGGTTGAACTTCACTCAACTTTCTACAGTTTTCCCCTTTAGTTAACACTATCAACATTTCATTCTACTGTGGTAATTGTGATCGGATCAACGCAATATTAACCACTTTCAATGTAATATACCGAAACAAAGCGAGCTATGCAAGATTTGGTATGCATAACGAACTGTGCAAGAGATTTTCTTGTCGGCAGAGCGCATTGACAGGCACGACTCAGGCCCGTATTCTACACAGACCGGTGCACCATAACCAATCAGAGCTGCAGTAGGCCTATATGCAAATAGCCATTGCCATATATGGATCTGTGCCATTCACTTTGAACTGGACTGTGTTTAGGCTACAGTATGAGTGGTTGGGAGGTCAAAGTGAGAGCTGCATGTAGCCACTTGTGCACATTTGTTCATATCCTTTGCTAGTTAGTGAGTTATTAGCCCAGTTATAGATCATTTCTAGTCAACAATGGGGGAGTGATTGCTTCCTACAAGAGCACAAAACATCTTTGAAAAGCGATTCAGGTAAAGAGCTTTTTTATGTCTTAAAGGGGAAGTGTTGTATTTTGAGACAGTCTAGAATAAACTAAGTAGCCAATAGGCAGAGGGTAGCATAATTTGTCTGATTCTCTGTAACTAAGGTTTGGGAATAATAATGCATTTTATTTTGTATAGTGGTTTCTTGCGTCAAACAACATTTTCAGTCACCTCAAGCTCTCAACGCAGTTTTATTTCTTAGAGGCTACCTTATGAATTGTATGATAACATCCAGAGCCAGTTATGATCAACTCCTCTATTAAGCTATCAGCTCTGCAGTGTTGTCCAATGTCAATCTAGCGATACTGATCCCTGGGGGACTCCTTGTTTCAGGCAGCCTGCCTGGAGGCCCGTCCTGTGGTCTGGGCTGCTGTCAGAGGTGGCTCGGCAAGGCCCCACAGCCCCAGCCCCTGGGCTCATTTTCAGGAGTTATGCAAATTAAAACAGCCCTATTGTGGTGCTCGTAAATTCTTCCACCACAGGGCCCAGTTAAATCGATTCCGAGCCTTCAAGCAAACAAACTTCTTTGATCCCCTATATTATCAACTCCAGCTCTTTTTGTGTTTCTAATTTCCTCATCCCTGATATTTTTTGTTTTCATCTCACTCCATCTGTTGTTTCCCAGCACCACCCTGTACTAAGCCTATGTGTACAACGTTTTCTTCTCCTCCCTTTTCGCCTGAGCCCTTGTAGAATTCCCCCTCTCTTTTTATTTCCTTTGTCAACGGGAGAGGATTGCCAAAGCCTGTACATGTCCAAGGCACATTTCACATTACAAGAAAAGCCCTAACTGTCGTCCAGCTGCGTTTTGGTTGAGTGGCACAAGGCTGTCGTTTGATCCCTTTTTGAACTCTAAAAGTAGCCCTAAAACCAAACACACACATCGCCGATGATGTCTGTAATGTGATTTGCCCATTTGTGCCTATAAAGGAAGAAAAAAACGGAGCAAACACCAAAAAGAGATAAAAAACAACAACAACAGGTTATTTCATTTAATGTCATATGGTTTGGCTTTTTTGCCGTGTCATTGAAGAATTCGGTTTGACCAAGTTGACCTGGAGTTTGTCAATACATTTATTTGGTTTACAGACTCGGCGCTGAGAAGAAACAGCAACCTCCTTCCGAATCCCCAGAGAGAGGGAATGATAGAGGGAGGGGGGTGAAAAGAAGGGATGAGCTAATTTATCGACTCATTTTCATCACCTAACCAAACCTACATGTACATAGTACTTCAATCAATCAATCACCTAAACAAACCTACATGTACATAGTACTTCAATCAATCAATCACCTAACCAAACCTACATAGTACCTCAATCAATCAATCACCTAAACAAACCTACATGTACATAGTACTTCAATCAATCAATCACCGAACCAAACCTACATAGTACCTCAATCAATCAATCACCTAACCAAACCTACATGTACATAGTACTTCAATCAATCAATCACCTAACCAAACCTACATAGTACTTCAATCAATCAATCAATCACCTAACCAAACCTACATGTACAGTGAGGGAAAAAAGTATTTGATCCCCTGCTGATTTTGTACGTTTGCCCACTGACAAAGAAATGATCAGTCTATAATTTTAATGGTAGTTTTATTTGAACAGTGAGAGACAGAATAACAACAACAAAAATCCAGAAAAACGCATGTCAAAAATGTTATAAATTGATTTGCATTTTAATGAGGGAAATAAGTATTTGACCCCTCTGCAAAACATGACATGAGGTCAGACGTTTCTTGTAGTTGGCCACCAGGTTTGCACACATCTCAGGAGGGATTTTGTCCCACTCCTCTTTGCAGATCTTCTCCAAGTCATTAAGGTTTCGAGGCTGACGTTTGGCAACTCGAACCTTCAGCTCCCTCCACAGATTTTCTATGGGATTAAGGTCTGGAGACTGGCTAGGCCACTTCAGGACCTTAATGTGCTTCTTCTTGAGCCACTCCTTTGCTGCCTTGGCCGTGTGTTTTGGGTCATTGTCATGCTGGAATACCCATCCACGACCCATTTTCAATGCCCTGGCTGAGGGAAGGAGGTTCTCACCCAAGATTTGACGGTACTTGGCCCCGTCCATCGTCCCTTTGATGCGGTGAAGTTGTCCTGTCCCCTTAGCAGAAAAACACCCCCAAAGCATAATGTTTCCACCTCCATGTTTGATGGTGTTTTTGGGGTCATAGGCAGCATTCCTCCTCCTCCAAACACGGCGAGTTGAGTTGATGCCAAAGAGCTCCATTTTGGTCTCATCTGACCACAACACTTTCAACCAGTTCTCCTCTAAATCATTCAGATGTTCATTGGCAAACTTCAGATGGGCATGTATATGTGCTTTCTTGAGCAGGGGGACCTTGCGGGCACTGCAGGATTTCAGTCCTTCACGGCGTAGTGTGTTACCAATTGTTTTCTTGGTGACTATGGTCCCAGCTGCCTTGAGATCATTGACAAGATCCTCCCGTGTAGTTCTGGGCTGATTCCTCACCGTTCTCATGATCATTGCAACTCCACGAGGTGATCTTGCATGGAGCCCCAGGCCGAGGGAGATTGACAGTTCTTTTGTGTTTCTTCCATTTGCGAATAATCACACCAACTGTTGTCACCTTCTCACCAAGCTGCTTGGCGATGGTCTTGTAGCCCATTCCAGCCTTGTGTAGGTCTACAATCTTGTCCCTGACATCCTTGGAGAGCTCTTTGGTCTTGGCCATGGTGGAGAGTTTGGAATCTGATTGATTGATTGCTTCTGTGGACAGGTGTCTTTTATACAGGTAACAAGCTGAGATTAGGAGCACTCCCTTTAAGAGTGTGCTCCTAATCTCAGCTCATTACCTGGGAGCCAGAAATCTTTCTGATTGAGAGGGGGTCAAATACTTATTTCCCTCATTAAAATGCAAATCAATTTATAACATTTTTGACATGCGTTTTTCTGGATTTTGTTGATGTTATTCTGTCTCTCACTGTTCAAATAAACCTACCATTAAAATTATAGACTGATCATTTCTTTGTCAGTGGGCAAACGTACAAAACCAGCAGGGGATCAAATACTTTTTTCCCTCACTGTACATAGTACTTCAATCAATCAATCACCTAACCAAACCTACATGTACATAGTACTTCAATCAATCAATCACCTAACCAAACCTACATGTACATAGTACTTCAATCAATCAATCACCTAACCAAACCTACATGTACATAGTACTTCAATCAATCAATCACCTAACCAAACCTACATGTACATAGTACTTCAATCAATCAATCACCTAACCAAACCTACATGTACATAGTACTTCAATCAATCACCTAACCAAACCTACATGTACATAGTACTTCAATCAATCAATCACCTAACCAAACCTACATGTACATAGTACTTCAATCAATCAATCACCTAACCAAACCTACATGTACATAGTACTTCAATCAATCAATCAATCACCTAACCAAACCTACATGTACATAGTACTTCAATCAATCACCTAACCAAACCTACATGTACATAGTACTTCAATCAATCAATCACCTAACCAAACCTACATGTACATAGTACTTCAATCAATCAATCACCTAACCAAACCTACATGTACATAGTACTTCAATCAATCAATCACCTAACCAAACCTACATGTACATAGTACTTCAATCACCTAACCAAACCTACATGTACATAGTATTTCAATCACCTAACCAAACCTACATGTACATAGTACTTCAATCACCTAACCAAACCTACATGTACATAGTACTTAAATCAATCAATCACCTAACCAAACCTACATGTACATAGTACTTCAATCAATCACCTAATCAAACCTACATAGTACTTCAATCAATCAATCACCAAACCAAACCTACATGTACTTAGTACTTCAATCAATCAATCACCTAACCAAACCTACATGTACATTTTACCTCAATAAATCACCCCAACTACCACGTACCCCAGTGCACTGACACAGTACTGGTACTCCTTGTGTGTGTGTATATATAGCCTCGTTATTGTGTTACTACTTTATTTTTATCCATTAGCAAATTTTCTTACTTTTTAACTGCATTGTTGGGAAAGGGCTCATATATAATCATTTCACAGTAAAGTCTACACTTGTTGTATTCGGCGCATGCACGCAAATTAGATTTGATTATCTCTGCATTGCTGGTGGAAGGAAGCCAGCCTCTTGAATAGGCCAGGCAGATGTCCCATATGGGCTATTATTATGAGCTAACATGCCTGTGTGCTGTAGCAGCAACCTGGGATTCTCTTGTGGTTGTCTTGTCTTTGGGATGCTTCCAACTTCCCAGGTTCCCTGATGTTATGAGGCCATATATTACATGATAACATCCCTCATGTTTTAAATGTCTGTGCTTTACTGTAGCACAGAAATATAATTCTTAGAACAGACTTTTCCATTTAAGTGATGGTGGACCGCCACAATTCTATTTCTCATTCTCTATTTGTCATTGTGTTTTGTTTTAGGGTTGCTTTCCCAAATTCCAGAATGTCTCTGTTTCAAGTGTGTCTTGTACAGTAAATACCTGGGGTTCTTTCTCACTGTTAGGTTTTGTTTTCTGGTTCCAGGTTCCTAGTAACACGCTCCCTGTCCCTGGTCAAGATGTCGGGTCACACTCCGTCCATAACGAGGCTGGAACAGCGGGCAGCCGAGGCCGATCACATCATAGACTACCTCAAACAGCAGGTCCAGCTGCTCAAGGAGAAAGCCAGTAAGAGACGCCGAAAGCACGCACACACACACACACACACACACACACACAAAGACACATGCAAACATAGAGATGCATGCGCACACTCAATCTCAAGCAGAGTATGGGGTCAAATGTATTCCTCAAGCATTCTCAAATGGTTGAAATTCTTTCTAAAAAAGCCTTTAATTGAATGAGTTTGACCTCAACTCTACATGAGTGCACATTCTCAGGGTGAAGTAGCCTAGCTGGAGAACCGGTTTAAAGCCAAAGTTGGGGAGGGAAAGAGGCTGTAGGATAAAACTAGATGATGCATGTTAGTCCCTATAAAAGTCTGATAGGAGCTTGTCTGTCTGAACATAGAGGTGCAAGCCACCGTCAGAGAAGAGAAGAAACTGATGGTGGAGAACACCAAGTTGAAGAGGGACATCGAGCAACTGAAGCAAACACTGCTGGAGAAGGAGAAGAACAGAGGAGGTACGTAGTTTGTTGGTGACAGTGTTCCATCTCTGTCACATCCTGTTTAACTTCTGCTAAGACCTCCTCGGAGATGAAATACTGACGTTGTTCAGACTGCGATTGAGAATAACTGTCTTTTTCCTGAGGGGAACTTCATTCTTCAAAGAACAGACGCCATTCCTTTGGTACGGCCTTGATGTTGTCAACCACATAGCTATAGCAAGCTGTAGGGTAAAGTTCTCACACTTGAGTCGTTGATGGCGTCTGAGGCAACTCATTAGCGACACATTGTTTGTTTTGCTGTATTAGTAACAGTCCTAGATCTTAATAAAATGCCTTTCTCGTCTCATTCTAATATTACAACCAGACCTTTTTTAACTATCAAAGTTCAAACAAATAATTGAACTCAAGTGCCCAAGCATGCCCATCATTAGCGCCACTAGGCAACCCCCAACTGCCAAAGTCAAACGGCATGCCGTCTGCGTGACTGGCGGCGTGCTACAACCCTGTTGTTATATCGCGCCTCTGTCATGCATTAACATACAAGGGCAAACAGTCTCTGTGATCATTAACACGTCAATAATGGCTTCCAGAGAGGAGAACCAGGTGGTAAAAAACCAGAGGATTAGTATGAATAGGTAATGTAGCCCTCATCAAAAGGCTATCCTCTCTACATGTTATTTTTGGAGCGTTCGGGAATGTGTGCGAAAAGGACGGCAGGATTATGTTTTAGGTTTTTCCACGTATCCAATTCCGATGTTTATTTTTGGTATGTGTTTCAATGGGGCTTTGTGACACTGTTAAAAAAAAGTTCAATCACAGTACAGATAAAGTGTGGAGCTTTTTTGAGGGATATTTCAGTCGGGCCTCATCCGTTTGTTATGGAGATGACTAACTGAAGTAAAGTGAAGACCTTCAGGGATACTGTCTGGGCATTTTGAGCAACAGAGAACAACAGCAGGAGAAACAACAGCATTTAAAAGGTTCATCGCCATGTTGTTTTAAAGGTAAACCTTTGGAGTTCTGAACCTCCGCTCTCAACATAGAATTAAAATGTGGGTAAAGTATGACTTTACGTCCAAACTTAAACCTGAAATGACTTTTAAAACTATATTTCCTTGTTTTCATGGACACTGTCATTTTCCCATGAAAACAAGCTTCAGGAGGCTGGTCTTTCCTCCCATTGGGTCTATAAATAAGGTTTTCTCTATCATTATGCAACATTATGTTGCTGAAACTAATTAGGCAAAGTACATCTCAATGAATAGCCATCATATCCAACGATCCCTCGCCGTCATTCTCAATTCAAAGTTCCATCTGTCAGGTTAGATGGCTTTGTTATTCCCCTTTGTTATTCCCCACTGTCGGACCCACCCAAGACGTACTGCGCTGGTTGGGATATTTTATTTTTCACATTGTTCTTTCCTGAACGATTCCAGCAACTGTGGTGGATGCATAGCCAGGCCAGCTCAGTACAGCTTGGCTCGGCTCGGCTCTGTAGTGTGAAAAGGGTATTAGTGCCAGGTCGCAGTTGTAAATGAGAACCTGTTCTCAACTGGCTTACCTGGTTAAATAAAGGTGAAATAAAAAAATAAAAAATAATAAAGTGCCTCTGGGTTCAAAAGCAAAATAGCCAACCTGAAGATACAAGGTTTTCAAATATATTGTGTATTGGAACTTGGTGCAGTATCATACAGCCTATCTGAACGGTACTGCAGAGGAGCGTTCAACTCCAGTTCTGCTGATTTCTATCCATCTCTTATAGTCAGCCTCTGATCTCCACCTTACAAACCAGTTCTCCTGGATTCTAATCAGTAGCATCAATAGCAGGGATCAAATAAAACCAGCAGTACTGCTGTAACTGGAGTTGAATATCCTCACTCATGGCTCAGTGGGTTAGTTAGAGCATGGTGCTGGCAACACCAGGGTTCTGGGTTCAATTCCCACATGGGCCAGATATACTTAATTCATGTGTCACTGTCAACTTTAAGGCGACATTCTAATATCCGTACTAGCATACCACTTAGCATGTGTCCAATGCATTGTATGCTGGTGTGGTTATTAGAACAGAGCTTAAGGGCTCTATTAAATCTGCGTCGTGGAAATTCAGCTTTACAGCGTGATTGAAATTTAAAGGAAAGGTTCCTGTTTTAGCGGAGACTACATTCGTGGTAAACGCTGCTTATGTCGGCTCAATCGGAAATGACCTTTACATTTCTATCGCGAAATCTGTAACGCTTCATCTTTATAGATTGATCAGGTCTCTTTGGATAGAAGTGTTAAATGAATCTTCTCTCTGTTTTTCCCACTGCAGTGAGGGAGGTGTCCATGCCAACTGCAGGAGACTCGAGTGTCCAGTGTGCCTCCAAGCCCACACCTCCTCAGCCCTCATCCCCAGCAAGGTCCTCCACCTCCACTGCCGACCCCTCTCCCAAAAACAGCGAGGCCAAGAAGAAGAAACCAGAGAAAAAGGGTAAAGTGAAGAAAGAAGTGACTTGTTGTTGAAGTTGCAGGGCCCTTCCACATCTGTGATTCACACACTCATAATCGTCAAAACCCCTCAACGTTCCACCACCACTAAAGGCCCGGGGGTCTTAAAATATGCCATTTCATTTTTCGTTTCGTCAGCAAAATCGAAGTAGGCCTGAGCGCCTCTTCAGCGACAATTTGAGTTTTAAGTGCTCCATGATTTTGCTTTGGGATGTACTTCTCTGAAATTGCTTTCCATTTGGAACACGAGCACTTGTCTAAGATCCAGCGTTTCCATCAATGCTTGGCTGGATACAGCGGTCCGTCTGTACTTTAATGGCCATTTGTGATTTCCCAGGCAGGTATTCTCCATCTGAATCTCTAATATCTGGCGATGATGGATGAAAGGCGCAAGGGGAATCTGCATATATAGGGGATCCGTTTCAAACTTTGGCCTAACGTTTCAGTTTCCAACATTAGACAGGCTTTTTCCCGAAACAAATTCACTTTCTCCGAAACCTTTCGGTGATTTATCTTGAAGTAGATGTTTAACCTTGATTGCTTTAATTTTAAAAAATGAAAACATTTACTTGTTTCGGTGATGAGAGAAGAGTCTTAGCAGAAGTGTCAACGCGTAATGAGAGACAGGCAGAATTCCGGTTTGGATGTTTATGTTGTGTCGACGCCATTCATCTTGAGGCTTTGCACAACCTCCCCAGAGCTAAACCAGAGATGCTCTAATGCAGTGTAATATAACATGCTGTTCATTTCCTCAGTGTCAAATTATATCTAAAAACTCGTATTCCAGCGAAACTATTGAAATTCAGCGGTGTAGGGTTGTATTCTTTTGAACTTTTTTTTGTTTATTATTAAAATTATATTCGATATACAATAAATCAGTCAAAGCCTCGTTCCACTCAGACGTCAAACCCATCTGGACTAATTAACTTCCACGGCAACAAATTGGGAATAATCTTCCCCAGATTATTTACAAGGTTATAATTCAGAGAAGATGAGGAAGAGAATGCTTTGCGACGTAGAACTGAACCAGTTTGTATCTGACTTTTCTGACAGCCAGATGTCAATGGAAAACGGAGAGCAGTAAATATCTGATACTGTTTGGGTTTTTATCGCCGCTGTTGACGATTTGCTTTGTTTTAGTACGTGTGGATATCCTCGTTTCCACATAAAGGCTTTGATGTGACTGTGTTCCCACCTCATCTAAACAATCATCGCCTGGCAATCAAATAAATCAGCCGGCCCATGGTGTGGTACACTGCTGCTCAGGGGCCAGGGCGGATGACGTCACACATCCAATACACTGTTTCGTAACAGTGCAGATGTTGACAGGGGCGTTAAGTAGGTAGCCCAGAGGTTAGAGAGGCGGACCAGTAGGTTGCTGGTTCGAATCCTGGGCTGGCAATATGGGAGATGAGCTGGCAACTGGAAGGTTCTCACCATCTAGAAAAAAAGGAGACGAGACTAGGAGACGAGACTAGGAGACGAGACCACTTTATACTATCCACTGCATATCATTGGAAGCGTCTGGCACACTACAGCACCCTTGTATCCGTGCAAAGCCTGTCTGGGCCTATGTTTTAACAGTGGGTATTGATATTGGTATTTACTTTAAGTCTCCTCAGAAGTCTGTTGAGTTGTGGAAAAGTAAATGTACTATTTTTGAAAGCCTGCGGTGATCACAGTAAAAAATGCCACGCTGGGGCTCCAGAGTCGCCGGGCAGATTTGTTTTCACTTTGGGGTAAATTGGATCAGAACAGTCAAGATGGCTGAATCACTCAGCATAGTTTCCAGACAGACTAGGTTCAAATGGGTCCTAATGAGTCTCCAGGGAACACTACCATAGCAGTGGGCTGAACATAATCTCAAATAAGCCTTGCATTAGATGCCTGGAGACAATATATTCTCTGGTGGACCTTTAATGTAATAAAGGCAGGGAGTCAGTATGCCATCCCTGAACTCAGTCCAGGATACTATACCTGCTGTGGCAGAGCCTGTATTGTAGTCCCGTGTAGCTCAGTTGGTAGAGAATGGTACTTGCAATGCCAGGGTTGTGGGTTCGTTTCCCACGGGGGGCCAGTATGAAGAAAAAAAATGTATGCACTCACTAACTGTAAGTCGCTCTGGATAAGAGCATCTGCTAAAATGTAAATGTGTTAAGTAATATATATACCATTAAACAGACGCCTTTATCCAAAGAGACTTAGTCATGCTTGCATACATATTACGTATTGGGTGGCCCCGGGAATCAAACCCACTATCCTGGCGTTGCAAGCACCATGCTCTACCAACTGAGCTACAGAGGACCACAGCTTTGTCAAGTCAGGCAGCAAACTCACTCTTATCCTAAATGACTTAACTGCAAGTTTGTATTGGGTGGGTGTGTGACTCTGTCTGTCTCTCTGTGTGTGTGGTCTCTGTACTCCTGGTTTAACCCTTTCCTCTCTGTGTGTGTGGTCTCTGTGTGGTTTTAACCCTTCCTCTCTGTGTGTGTGGTCTCTGTTCCGCTGGTTTAACCCTTCCTCTCTGTGTGTGTGGTCTCTGTTCCGCTGGTTTAACCCTTCCTCTCTGTGTGTGTGGTCTCTGTGCTGGTTTAACCCTTCCTCTCTGTGTGTGTGGTCTCTGTGTGGTTTAACCCTTCCTCTCTGTGTGTGTGGGTCTCTGTGCTGGTTTAACCCTTTCCTCTCTGTGTGTGTGGTCTCTGTTCCGCTGGTTTAACCCTTCCTCTCTGTGTGTGTGGTCTCTGTGCTGGTTTAACCCTTTCCTCTCTGTGTGTGTGGTCTCTGTTCCGCTGGTTTAACCCCTTCCTCTCTGTGTGTGTGGTCTCTGTGCTGGTTTAACCCTTCCTCTCTGTGTGTGTGGTCTCTGTTCCGTGGTTTTAACCCTTCATATCTGTGGTTGTGTGGTCTCTGTGGCTGGTTTAACCCTTTCCTCTCTGTGTGTGTGGTCTCTGTCCGCTGGTTTAACCTTCCTCTCTGTGGGTGGCTCTCTTTTGCGTTTAACCCCTTCCTCTCTGTGTGTGTGGTCTCTGTGCTGGTTTAACCCTTTCCTCTCTGTGTGTGTGGTCTCTGTGCTGGTTTAACCCCTTCCTCTCTGTGTGTGTGGTCTCTGTGCTGGTTTAACCCTTTCCTCTCTGTGTGTCCTATCACAGAGAAGGGAGAGAAGAAGCCCGCGGCCCCCCAGGAGGAGGCTAAGGTGGACGTGTCGCGTCTGGACATGAGGGTGGGACGCATCGTCACGGCCGAGAAGCACCCGGACGCCGACTCACTCTACGTGGAGCAGGTGGACGTGGGGGAGGCCGCCCCCAGGACGGTGGTCAGCGGGCTGGTCAAGCACATACCCATAGATCAGGTACTGGAATGCACAGCCTAGTAATAACACAGCCTAGTACGAACACAGCCTAACACCGGCTACAGGCCAACCAAATGTCAGATCAGCTCTGAAAAATCAGATCAGCTCTGAATAAGATCTGATGTGAAAAGATCTGATCTGATTGGTCAAAGGACCAATTAGTGGAAAAAAAGATCAGAATTGGGCTGCCTGTCTAAATGCAGCCAAAGAGCCTCATCATGTCAAGTATTCACGCAAGGCCTGTGTCAGTCAGATACAACATCGGGTAGTTACCAGACAACTCATCGGGTAGTTACCAGACAACTCATCGGGTAGTTACCAGACAACTCATCGGGTAGTTACCAGACAACTCATCGGGTAGTTACCAGACAACTCATCGGTAGTTACCAGACAACTCATCGGGTAGTTACCAGACAACTCATCGGGTAGTTACCAGACAACTCATCGGGTAGTTACCAGACAATATCGGGTAGTTACAGACAACTCATCGGGTAGTTACCAGACAACTCATCGGGTAGTTACCAGACAACTCATAGGGTAGTTACCAGACAACTCATCGGGTAGTTACCAGACAACTCATGGGTAGTTACCAGACAAATCATCGGGTAGTTACCAGACAACTCATCGGGTAGTACCAGGACAACTCATCGGGTAGTTACCAGACAACTCATCGGGTAGTTACCAGACAACTCATCGGGTAGTTACCAGACAACTCATCGGGTAGTTACCAGACAACTCATCGGGTAGTTACCAGACAACTCATCGGGTAGTTACCAGACAACTCATCGGGTAGTTACCAGACAACTCATCGGGTAGTTACCAGACAACTCATCGGGTAGTTACCAGACAACTCATCGGGTAGTTACCAGACAACTCATCGGGTAGTTACCAGACAACTCATCGGGTAGTTACCAGACAAATGCCCTTTTGGAACGTTTTATGTGTCTGGAACACAGTCTGCCCACAGACAATACAAAGGAAGACTGTTACTGAACTAAACAGGTAGTGGGAGCTTAGCGGTCATTCAGGAGACTTGGGCAGGCAGACCTAGTACACTACAAAGCTCTCTACATGCTTTTGGTAGTCAAATAACATTGGTTTTAAAGATTGCTGTTATAACACTGCTAATAATTTTTTTTGCCTTATTTTCAATAGAACAAATTCAGCTGTTTTTGTTGTACACACGGGTGCTATAATTCTGGCTAGCCAGGGTCATGTTCTGGGTTTAATAGCCCATGTAAAGTGACTACACCGGTGTAGTCTGTGTCTGGGGTTCACGTGACGCTTTTTAATGTCTACGACGTAGGTTTCTGCACACACAGACTTGGTTTTCATTTAGTTATTGCCCCGGAATTTACGATTTGTCTCCGAGACGCAAAAGTAATTTGTATGCAGTCTTATTCACCTAGCAAAAGTCCCCAGTTTCTCTGTGCAATCAAAACGCTCTTCTCGGTTTGCCTCTTTTGATTCATCTCCAAAGCATGGGGAGCCTTTGTACATCCTACTTTATATAGACAATGTATATTCCCTATAAATGAAAGCATATGCTCGTTGGAGTCTTTGTACCCAAACACAGTCGGAGTCAAAATATATCTATGGTTCTATGAGAAGACTAATTGGGAATTACATTTTTCATTAGATTTTTATATAAATGTATTGAAATACTTGTAGTTACGTAGCTATTGGCTACATTACTAAGCTAGGGCCTACATTTGTTTGACAATTCTTTTTATTGCATCTTAATGTACGTTCTGTAGTGGCTGAATTGTGAAGTGTTTCTTCACCACCGAAATAACCTTTTTCACAGAGACATTTGTCATAAGCCATAGTCAATTACACAGACTCAAAGACAATCCAAGCACACGTCACTGTAATGACTAGATTTTGTTTTGTCATTTAAAGAGAGAATGCCTTCATCCTTCACACCAGGGCTAGACAATCAGCCTTCTTCCTTCATACCAGGGCTAGACAATCAGCCTTCTTCCTTCATACCAGGGCTAGACAATCAGCCTTCTTCCTTCACACCAGGGCTAGACAATCAGCCTTCTTCCTTCACACCAGGGCTAGACGATCAGCCTTCTTCCTTCACACCAGGGCTAGACAAGCAGCCTTCTTCCTTCCACACCAGGGCTAGACGAGCAGCCTTCTTCCTTCCACACCAGGGCTAGATGAGCAGCCTTCTTCCTTCCACACCAGGGCTAGACGAGCAGCCTTCTTCCTTCCACACCAGGGCTAGACGAGCAGCCTTCTTCCTTCCACACCAGGGCTAGACGAGCAGCCTTCTTCCTTCCACACCAGGGCTAGATGAGCAGCCTTCTTCCTTCCACACCAGGGCTAGATGAGCAGCCTTCTTCCTTCCACACCAGGGCTAGACAATAATTATTTGGACAAGAAGAAACCACAGTTTTCCTTTCTCGTCAAGTCATTCATTGTGTCAGAGTCAACATGGCGACGGCCCGTGCATACAAGACATTGAGCCTTCCCTGTTTCAAGGAACATACTGGAGTTTGAAGAACGACATGAGGAATAAAAAGCCAAACCCTTTCATTGGCAGCAATATAGAGGGCCCATTGCAGCATGTTGACTTGAGTGCCCTGGCATGTTTGTCCTTTGTACGTTGGCCGGAATAAGGAAACTTTGGAAACCCAAATCCTAGCGTGTTTGGATTGTGTTCAGTTGTAACCCTCAACATTAAAGTGATTTCAGGCCTCATTGCCATTACATGAAATTGAATGTCAACCCCACACACATACACACACACACACAACTTGACTTCTGTAGTCCGCACATCTGACCGATTACTTAACTGACAAGACGTCACACACCCAACACACACACACACACACCCTTTCCCCGTTAAGCAAATGGCGCTTGAGTAAGAAAAGCTGCCGCAAGAAGGCTGTCAAAACAATATGTCACACTAACGGGAATGTATGCAGATTTATGTAAACATTGAACTTTTTTAAAGGATGTTTCCAAAGTGAAGACATCATTATTTTCCTAGTTGTGACACGCACTATGACTTTGTACACTGGATCCTCGCCGTCCTCTTCTCTTTTGATGGAAATGGCTTCTGGCCTTCTCAGAGTTTTGGTCAACCTCTGAGGTCACTCCAGAGACATGAAAGAATAATGTTTTTTTCTCTCGCTCTCCTTGGTTTATGAAATAAGGCACACCATACACACAAGCCATATGCCGCCAGAGGCAGTCATTTTACATGACAAGATTGGACATGGTAGAATTGTGTGAATATGATTCTGAAAACCTCAGTACTGCAAAGCGGTCGAGAGTGGAGACCACACAAGTTGGTGTTTTCTTTTCTCCATTTTATCAATCAATCAACCAATCAATCAAGTCATAAAGTAGGCCATTCATTCTGAAGACAGCAGTGTAACCCTGTGTGGTTTGTACAGAATCAGAGTAGTGCTCCCTACTCTCTCTACTAGTAAAATATGTATTCTTTATTTTAATACCTTTTTCCTACAAAAGAAGGTTGAAGATATATGTATTTAATATCTCTGTATCTCAGTATAGTTTTAAACCTTTGCCCTGTTTCATCGCCCTCCAGATGCAGAATCGCATGGCGGTGCTGCTGTGCAACCTGAAGCCAGCTAAGATGAGAGGCGTGCTGTCCCAGGCCATGGTGATGTGTGCCAGCTCCCCAGACAAGGTGGAGATTCTAGACCCTCCCAGCGGTGCCGTGCCCGGAGACAGAGTCATCTTCCAGGGCTTCCCAGGTACCGTAACACCGCTGACCATCTGGGCATGTATCCACAGAGTCTGAGTAGGAGTGCTGATCTAGGATCAGTTTGCCTTTTAGATAATAATGAATAAGATTGTATGGACAGATCCTAGATCAGGACTCTTACTCTGAGAGGCTTTGTGGATATGCGCCCTGACCTCTAGGGTCTACTTCACCATTAGCCTGGTTAAACCAGACTGAATGCTGCACTCAATGGGGATCACAGTGTTCAGTATGGTTTATCCAGGCTACTTCTATACCCTCTACAGCTCAACCTGCTTGTGACTAAGCTAGTAAGCTGTGAAAGTAACCAGGAAGTGACTGCCCCCACAGCCTTTTTGTAGTTATCTTTTATGATCTTCAATGCGCAAAAACGTAGCGCAATGGTCTTCAAGCACAAAAACGTCATAAAGGGCATCTGGTAGAAGTACATTCGTCCACAAACCCGTATTTTATATCTATCTTAAATGATTGCGTTTTCATGAATTTGATGATAAAATCGCAAAGCCAATTCAAAAAAGCATGGGAAACGAAACGAAAGTAAAGCGGAAGTAGCCGTCACTTTCACAGGGTATTCTAACCTCGATAACACTTCACATATATCTTTATAAAGGGGGGTTGTCAAGGGTTTATACACTGAACAAAAATATAAATGCAACGTGTAAAGTGTTGGTTTCAGGAGCTGAAATAAAAGATCCCAGAAATGTTCCATACGCACAAAAAGCTTATTTCTCTCCAATTTTGTGCACAAATTTGTTTACATCCCTGTTAGTGAGCATTTCTCCTTTGCCAAGATAATCCATCCACCTGACAGGTGTGGCATATCAAGAAGCTGATTAAACAGCATGATCATTACACAGGTACACCTTGTGCTAGGGACAATAAATGGCCACTTTAAAATGTGCAGTTTTGTCACACAACACAATGCCACAGATGTCTCAAGTTTTGAGGGAGCGTGCAATTGGCATGCTGACTGCAGGAATGTCCACTAGAGCTGTTGCCAGATAATTGAATGTTCATTTCTCTACCATAAGCCGCCTCCAACGTCATTTTAGAGTACTTGGCAGTACGTCCAACCGGCCTCACAACCGCAGACCAGGTGTAACCACGCCAGCCCAGGACCTCCACATCTTGCTTCTTCACCTGCGGGATCGTCTGAGACCAGCCACCCGGACAGCTGATGAACTGAGGAGTATTTCTGTCTGTAATAAAGCCCTTTTGTGGGGAAAAACTCATTCTGATTGGCAAACGTGGATCTTGAATCTAATGGCGGTAGAATAGTGGAAGACTGGACTATTGTCCAAAGGAATGGAAAAAGGAGCAAGGTTATTTTGGAAAACAAAATGTTGAGTTCTGATAATGTGCCCTCTTAAATGGTAGGAGTACGGTTTGTAGAAGAGGAGCGGATGACCCAAATACCAAACTTGAATCCGTTTGAGATATCTAAACTGGTGGAAAAAAGTATTCGGCAGTGGTGTAAAGGAGTTAAGTAAAAATACTTTAAAAGTATTTAAAGCATTTAGGTCGTTTTTTGGGGTATCAGTACTTGGCTTTACTATTTATAATTTTGACAATATTTACTTTTACTTCACAACATTCCTAAAGAAAATAATGCACTTTTTATTCCATACATTTTCCCTGACATCCCAAAAGTACTCTTTACATTTTGGGTGGGCCTGGCTCCCAAGTGGCTGCGCCCCTACCCAGTCATGTGAAATCCATAATTAGGGCCTAATGGATTTATTTCAATTGATTGATGACCTTATATGAACTGGAACTCAGGTAAAATTGTTGAAATTGTTGCATGGTACGTTTTATATTTTTGTTCAGTATAAGTAGTTTGTAGACCATTTATTGATTAGTTCATCTAGTTGGTTCAAATCCTGGCCATATCATGTGGGTAACTGAATTAAATGTGGTAAAATAGTTGAAGGCTTGATGTTTGCCATTCCACTGGCTACACTTTAAAGTAGGATACAATGAGTCTGGTACAATGACGGAACACTGCATTCATTTTAGCTGCATCTGGTGGAATGGGACACAGGGTCTGCATCCCAAAACATTGCACTTAGGCAAATGTAGTGCACTATGTAGGGAATAGGGTGCCATTTGGGACACATCCAGGGATTCCTTCTGTAAACTCAAGTCATGAATTATTTATGACCAAAAAGCCACTTCAGATGACCCAACACTAAAGAACATCAATAGATTCCAACCAAGGGGAAAAGGACTGAATGCATTGCCCTGAACAAAAGAACAGGGTTTCCTTATTGCCTTTACATCGGTAGGTGAAATGAAGCGTGAACAACCAACTGTCCTCTTGCCAAGGGCAACAAAGGCTTTTATTTTCATTTCTTTGAAGAGAGGAATCACAAAGCCTTCTCAAGACCTCACAGAGTTTTCCTATTGCAGCGCTCGCTCCTCTGTTCTCTTTAGTGATGGGCGCTAAATGGCCTGTGACTGTTAACAGAATAGACAAACTAATCAACTCCCTCTGACAAGAAGTGTAAGTCCAGTCCTCTTTTCCCACAATCAAGCGTAGGGAGGTTAGGAGATGGGAGAGTTTGAAAGGCCCCAAATAATTCTTTGTAGCTGTCTATTTACCACCACAAACCGATGCTGGTACTAAGACCGCACTCAATGAACTGTATACAGCAATAAGCAAACAGGAAAACGCTCATCCAGAGGCGGCACTCCTAGTGGCCGGGGACTTTAATGCTAATATAACAATAATTGGCAAATCTGACCATAATTCTATCCTCCTGATTCCTGCTTACAAGCAAAAACTAAAGCAGGAAGCACCAGTGACTCGGTCAATAAAAAAGTGGTCAGATGAAGCAGATGCTAAGCTACAGGACTGTTTTGCTAGCACAGACTGAAATATGTTCCGGGATTCTTCCAATGGCATTGAGGAGTACACCATATCAGTCACTGGCTTCATCAATAAGTGCATCAATGACGTCGTCCCCACAGTGACTGTACGTACATACCCCAACCAGAAGCCATGGATTACAGGCAATATCCGCACTGAGCTAAAGGGTAGAGCTGCCGCTTTCAAGGAGAGGGACTCTAACCCGGAAGCTTATAAGAAATCTTGCTATGCCCTCCGACGAACCATCAAACAGGCAAAGCGTCAATACAGGACTAAGATAGAATCGCACTACACCGGCTCGTCTACACATCCGACGCTCGTCGGATGTGGCAGGGCTTGCAAACTATTACAGACTACAAAGGGAAGCACAGCCGCGAGCTGCCCAGTGACAAGAGCCTACCAGACGAGCTAAATTACTTCTATGGTCGCTTCGAGGCAAGTAACACTGAAACATGCATGAGAGCATCAGCTGTTCCGGACGACTGTGTGATCACGCTCTCCGTAGCCGATGTGAGTAAGACCTTTAAACAGGTCAACATTCACAAGGCCGCAGGGCCAGACGGATTACCAGGACGTGTACTCCGAGCATGCACTGACCAACTGGCAAGTTTCTTCACTGACATTTTCAACCTCTCCCTGTCTGAGTCTCTAATACCAACATGTTTCAAGCAGACCACCATAGTCCCTGTGCCCAAGAACACTAAGGTAACCTGCCTAAATGACTACCGACCCGTAGCACTCACGTCTGTAGCCATGAAGTGCTTTGAAAGGCTGGACATGGCTCACATCATCACCATTATCCCAGAAACCCTAGACCCACTCCAATTTCCATACCGCCCCAACAGATCCACAGATGATGCAATCTCTATTGCGCTCCACACTGCCCTTTCAAACCTGGACAAAAGGAACACCTATGTGAGAATGCTATTCATTGACTACAGCTCAGCATTCAACACCATAATGCCCTCAAAGCTCATCACTAAGCTAAGGACCCTGGGACTAAACACCTCCCTCTACAACTGGATCCTAGACTTCCTGACGGGCTGCCCCAGGTGGTAAGGGTAGGTAACAACACATCCGCCACGCTGATCCTCAACACGGGGGCCCCTCAGGGGTGCGTGCTCAGTCCCCTCCTGTACTCCCTGTTCACTCATGACTGCATCGCCAGGCACGACTCCAACACCATCATTAAGTTTGCAGATGACACATCAGTGGTAGGCCTGATCACCGACAACGACGAGACAGCCTATAGGGAGGAGGTCAGAGACCTGGCCGTGTGGTGCCAGGACAAAAACCTCTCCCTCAATGTGATCAAGACAAAGGAGATGATTGTGGACTACAGGAAAAAGAAGAGGACCGAGCACGCCCCCATTCTCATCGACGGGGCTGTAGTGGAGCAGGTTGAGAGCTTCAAGTTCCTTGGTGTCCACATCACCAACAAACTAACATGGTCCAAGCACACCAAGACAGTCACGACAAAACCTATTCCCCCTAAGGAGACAGAAAAGATTTGGCATGGGTCCTCAGATCCTCAGAAGGTTCTACAGCTGCATCGAGAGCATCCTGACTGGTTGCATCACTGCCTGGTATGGCATCTGCTCAGCCTCCGACCGCAAGGCACCTCAGAGGGTAGTGCGTACGGCCCAGTACATCACTGGGGCCAAGCTTCCTGCCATCCAGGACCTCTATACCAGGCGGTGTCAGAGGAAGGCCCTAAAAATTGTCAAAATTGTGATTTGAAATGCCTTGTTCAAAGGACTGGTTTGATTCAGATGTAGAGAATTAGAACTCTTTATACCAAATCATCCAACGGAACACAACCTATGGAATTTATAGTCTTTAACAGAGTGACTATACACTATCCCAGTGCCTTTTAACCATACTCCATGTTCAATGTCATGCCTGGGAAATGCACAGAAACCCAAACTAGAGGAATGCCTGCCTGAACGTCATAAAATGTTCAACCTCATGCCTCGCCCGACGTTGAAGGGGGAAACCCATCACCACCACCATCAATATGACTGATTTTAGAGTTGTTCTTGTCAGGAGTTAATTTAAAAATATGGTGGTTGGGCTGGCAAAACAAAATGTTTTGGGGGGGAGGAGGAGAGGAGTTGTGAGTCATGCGGTTGTTTGTAGGGAACAATAACTGAACTGGGAGTTTCCCTGAGATAGAGAAGGAGAGAGAGGCTGTGGAGATAGAAAGGGAGGATTGGGAAACATGACGAGGGAGTGTCCATCACACAGACACCCTGTCAGGACTGGAGGCCGCTGACATCAGCCTGGGCCATCCTTTCATCTCCTCCTCCTTTCTCTTCTCCTTCCCCCTCCTCTCCCCTCTCCTCATAGCCGCCTTTCCTCAAGCTGTTTGTTTTAACCATCTGGGCCTGTATCCACAGTCTGAATAGGAGTGCCTTTAAAGATAATAATGAATAAGAGTGTATGGACAGATCCTAGATCAGCACTCCTTCTCTGAGACGCTTGGTGGATATGCGCCCTGACCTCTAGGGTCTACTTCACCATTAGCCTGGTTAAACCAGACTGAATGCTGCACTCAATGGGATCACAGTGTTCAGTATGGTTTATCCAGGCTACTTCTATACCCTCTACAGCTCAACCTGCTTGTGACTAAGCTAGTACGCTGTGAAAGTAACCAGGAAGTGTCTGCCCCCACAGCCTTGTAGCTTTTCTTTTCTGTTTTATGATCATCAATGTGCGAAAACGTAGCGCAATGGTGTTCATAATGGCACTTCCTCAATGGTGTTCATAAAGGCACTTCCTCAATGGTGTTCATAATGGCACTTCCTCAATGGTGTTCATAATGGCACTTCCTCAATGGTGTTCATAATGGCACTTCCTCAAGCTGTTTGTTTAACGAGGGTTCCCCTCGGCCAAAACGCCTTATTTTACGACTCTACCAGTGGCGGCTCCTGAAAAAATTCTCAGGAGGGGCAATTTTTCTGATGATTTAGGTGACCTACACACGTGCACGAGTCCGTGCACGCGATTCCAGATATCTTTACCTCTGAATAAACTGCCTTTATTATACCATATCCACCCTGTCCAAAGTCTCTACTTGGTCTCAGTTCTCCAGTAAACTTGTGATTATCAACAGTACACAACGGTAACAAACAATTGGGGGAACTCACGGGGCAGATAGTAACCACTTAAAAGGAAGCGATTCCCAAACCTTCCATAACAAAGCCATCACCTACAGAGAGATGAACTTGGAGAAGAGTCCCCTAAGTAAGCTTGTCCTGGGCCTCTGTTCACAAACACAAACAGACCCCACACAGCCCCAGGACAACAACAACAACAACAACAACAACACAATTAGACCCAACCAAATCATGAGAAAACAAAAAGAGAATTACTTGACACATTGGAAAGAACAAACAAAAAAACAGAGCAAACTAGAATGCTATTTGGCCCTAAACAGAGAGTACACAGTGGCAGAATACCTGACCACTGTGACTGACCCAAACTTAATGAAAGCTTTGACTATGTACAGACTCAGTGACCATAGCCTTGCTATTGAGAAAGGCCGCCGTAGGCAGACCTGGCTCTCAAGAGAAGACAGGCTATGTGCACACTGCCCACAAAATGAGGTGGAAACTGAGCTGCACTTCCTAACCTCCTGCCAAATGTATGACCATATTAGAGACACATATTTCCCTCAGATTACAGCGATCCACAAAGAATTCGAAAACAAACCCAATTTTGATAAACTCCCTTATCTACTGGGTGAAAAAACCACAGTGTGCCATCACAGCTGCAAGATTTGTGACCTGTTGCCACAAGAAAAGGGCAACCAGTGAAGAACAAACACCATTGTAAATACAACCCATATTTATGTTTATTTATTTTCCCATTTGTACTTTAACTATTTGCACATTGTAACAACACTGTATATATACATAATATGACATTTGAAATGTCTTTATTCTTTTGAAACTTCTGAGTGTAATGTTTACTGTTAATATTTATTGTTTATTTCACTTTTGTTTACTATCTACTTCCCTTGCTTTGGCAATGTTAACACACGTTTCCCATGCCAATAAAGCCCTTAAATTGAATTGAATTGATAGTAAGGTCGCAATGACACAGAAAGCAGTTCAATGTCGGGGTACAGAGTCGCTCTCTTACCAGGATCGCGGTCCGCTCTGACCGGGGTGAAGGTGGCCGGCTCCACTTCTCTGTCCGGGACTCATCCAGCCAAGTCTCCCAGCTGTATTGGGATTCAGCTGCCAGCAGCGTTTTCATTATTTAGTCCGTTCGTAGCGGGTATGTACACGATCAACAAGATCAGTCCAAAACCAACCACTGGAAATCCATGGTTGGCAGAATGTTTGTAAACTAAGTCTACAAATTAAAAACATCTACGCACGTCAATTAGAGCCACATTCAGGCTGGCATCACAGAGAAGGACCACAGGATGGAAGAGAGGAGAGGAGGATCATGGAAGGATGAGGGGCGGGGTTGCTAAGGCGGTCTCGTCGGTTTCTAGCTGTTCTGTACACAACTCTGGGTCGTTAAACAACACAGCCGCGGCGGTGATGGCGAACGCTTTTCCAAACAGGATGTTGTTTACAGTGAGGGATAAAGGATGATGGACTTGGGTTTAGTTTCATTCCCTCTCTTATTTTGATGTCAGCTTTGGTCCCTCAGAATAAGGCTTCCACATCATAGAATGTCCAACCTCATGCCTCACCCGACATTGAAGGGGGAAACCCACCACCACCATCAATGTGACTGGGAGAGCGAGGGAGAGAGAGGAGAGAGAGAGAGAGTCCATCACACAGATGCCCCGTCAGGACTGGAGCCCGCTGACATCAGCCTGGGTTCTCCTTTCATCTCCTCTCCCCTCTCACCGGCCCCTCCTCAAGCTGTTTGTTTAACGAGCGATCCCACTAGGGCTTTGGCGGTCATTCAATTCCCACCGGCCAAAAAAACGTATTTTACGACTCTACGCACACAGAGAACGACCACGGGATGGAAGAGAGGAGAGGAGGATGGAGGGATGCGGAGGAGGAGAGGGGCGAGGCGGGGTTGCTAAGGCGGTCTCGTCGGTTTCTAGCTATTCTGTACACACCTCTGGGTCGTTAAAAAACATAGCCGCGGCGGTGATGGTGAACGCTTTTCCAAACAGGATGTTGTTTACAGCGAGGGGTAAAGGATGATGAACTTCTATTTTACTTTTTGACATTCCCTCGCTCTTATTTTGATGTCAGCTTTGGTCCCCCAGGATTCCATATTTTTCTTCATATTTTAGGGAGTGCAACCCTACTTTTTAGTGACATTCCGGTGCTAGCTAGTAGCACCAAGTCAGTCAGTAAGTGAGTCCAGCATTGGTCTTGGTGTGGATAGATGACAGTAATTACTCACACATTCACCAGCCCTAATAAGCACCCGTGTTCCTGTTCAAACTGTAGAGGGTGCCTAAGCTGCCCCATTACAACTTTCTCCCACCGCTTGTGTGCAACTGAGGAAAATTAAACATTTTGTTTTTCTTCACACGTCTTTCAGGATGTTTGTGATGATGAGTAGGAAAAGTTTACACCCCAACAGAAGCACGTTATGAATCCAATGCGGAGAGCCAGTTATGAATCCATACAGATGCCAAGTAATATCTAAACACTGCCAACAACACAATGCTGAGGTTATGAAGAACTCCCTAACTCCATTAGTTGCCGACAAACATGGAGGTTGTAGACGTTTTGAATTAGAGCTAAAAGAGTAATAGCTTCTGTAAAACCTCTGGCTTCGTTTTTTTTTTTTTTATGTGTCAAAATCGACACTTACACCAAGGAAGTACTCCCTGCAGCACAAACCAATCGTCTATCACAAGGCTACAGAAAAGCAAGCAAGGCAGACAAGGTGTTGCCATTGGAGTCATCATCTACTGGGGTTCCCCCTAGAGGCGTCATGCCATCGAAACTAAGGAGGAACGTTCCCCCTCAATTTTATTCATAAAAATATACAAGCGATGCACAATGAGATATTCAATATGGCCCCCTCAAAAAATCTAGTGCATAACACGAGTGTATTGCTCCATACAAGGTATGTAAGTCATAACTATCGGAGCTGTCATCTAGTTTCTCTCCTATGTTTCCAGGTGAGCCAGACAAGGAGCTGAACCCCAAGAAGAAGGTGTGGGAGGCGGTGCAGCCGGACCTGGAGACAGACGGCCAGTGTGTGGCCACCTACAAGGGAGCCCCCTTCCAGATCGCCGGCAAGGGAGTGTGCAAAGCCCAGACCATGAGCAACAGCTGCATCAAATAAAGGAAGACGAATGCAGATGACGGAGCCATAGAACTAGAATTGTGGGAATGGGAAAAGTGGGAATGACCGTTCCAGCCATTCTATTTCTATAGGTGGAACTAGCGAAGGTCCTTGTTCAGCCTGTGGAACTGATAAATACTCATCCATGACGGTGATAGTGATGATGTCGACGGAGGAAAAGGAAATGTTTTGAAGATGTTCAATAAAAAGGTTATCAGTTGGTCTTAAAATCGTTGCAATTGATTTCTTGTTTGGTTCTTCTTCATAAAGAAGCTGATAGGAGTGTGTTTACATCCTATAAAGCCTTTATAATGCTCTATAGCATTCTTAAATCATCCTGCAAATCACTTTTGTGATTTATTAGTTTGATTAGTACTTTGATTTAGAAAAGTGTCCATTTAATCTATTCTCTGGTTCGTTATGAGCCGAAGGAGAGAAATTGGGGTGTCATTCTACAAAGCCGACAAACAGACAGATCGATTTCACAGACGTTACGCGGCAGGCCTTTTGGACAGTGGGCAATGGTAACAGAATGATGCGGAGATGCAAAGTTTGGTAACAGAATGACGGTTTGTGCCATCATTCTGTTACCAAACTGCAGTCATCACGTGCTCTTTAAGGTTCAGTCATCACCCTCTCTTTAAGGTTCAGTCATTACCCCACTCGTCAAGGCTGTTGCTCAGCCCAGTTTTTCAGGATTTACGATCCAGATCAAAAGGATCCTGTGTTGTGTTCAATTCTGTTCCTCCCGTCAGATTTGTTCCCTCTTAGCTTTTGGACTAAACCAATCTGAACTAATCTCTTTCAGTGGTACCCCTTCATATGCTACAGCCAAGGTCATGTCCCATGATATGACATGCACTTGTATTGGCTGTTTATTTTAAGTAATCTAATGGTTAACAGAATCATTTGATTTCTAACTGACCAACACCTGAATCAAGGATCTCTTAGTATCATCTCTGGCAATCAGAACAATAAGGTCTGGATCAAAGTTCTAGCTCTCTCTCAGACACACACCAGAGTGCACTGGGTTCCTCAGCCAGGGGCCATACCAGTCTGTCTGGGTCCTGGTTCTAGAATGGTTTGACATAATCAGCAGGGTCCAGATTCACAAAACACTTCTTACGCAAAAACTTTAGAAGCTTCTTTAAGAAAAAAAAAAAGAAGTTCATAAAATAGTTCGTAAGTGCAATTCCTCAACAATATCTTAAGATTTAATGACTTTCTTACGAACTTCTCAAATATCTTCTTACAAATCTTTTTAAGATGGTTGTTGCTAGGTTTTTGCTAGGCAACCGTTTTAGCTAGCTATCTAGCTAGCAATGGCTATCATGTTGGCATATTTCTTACTGAGATTACTGTTCTAAAACATGTTCTTGGGTTTAAAATAATCAATACTTAAAAGTTTGAGTAAATTAAACATGGTCTATTGCTTTCATGAGCTTTTTCTCTCACTGCCCTGAGTTCAAGACAAGGATTTAGCAATCTTGGAATTAAGAACATTTCCAATAACTTTATTTTCAAGAATCTAATTTCTTCTTAACTTTTTGCCTAAGGAGAAACATAAGAAATAGGGTGGGAAAAAATCCAATAACCTTTTTAAGGAATAGCAACTTTGCTTAACCTTCTTCTTAAGTCTATAGTTAAGGACAACATGCCAGTTAAGAAGACATTTCTTCTTAAGAAGGTTTTGTGAATCTGGGCCCAGGGCTGATTTATACATCCTTATTGCCGGTCTATTCTCTTGCGTCGATAGTAATCAAGTCCATGTACACCCCTGAACATCTGTAGTTAGACTGAGGAAGCCGAGTGTAGCATAGCCTTGTGTTTAATGTCCCATTCACTCTGCCCTCCTTTGAGATCTATCCCATTGGCAGCTTCAATATATTGCTGGGTTGTACTGTTCCATAGTCGACCACACATTTAGATTTCATTACTATATGATGCTCTGTTTAGTGTGTTGACGTCATTCGCATATCTGATGTGATGCATATTGTGAAAATAATATATTTAGGCTTGTAAATTACATTGTCCAGTTCAAGTTCTTGAGGAAACAGTCGAAAGTACTTTTCTAATTGTGATACTAAATGACACGTTGTTGAGGATAAACCTATAGTATATTTCTAAATGGAATGTGTGACTCATGTTACTGGAATGCTTCTGTGTCAGCCTATCCCCAGTCATTTAATTTATTTGGTATATTCCAGAACAGATTCAACTAATCAAGGGCTTGATAATTAGTTGACCAGTAAAACAGCTGTACTAGAACTGGAAGCTGATCTAGTTGGTGAAAAGACCTATTAATAAATAAAAAAAGATCAGAATTGGGCTGGCTGTGTGAACGTAACCGACTAGACCAAAACAGTGGAATGGTACTATTCAAGGAGAACTGACCCCTGCTGAATATCATTTGCTACTATACCACGGTCTCTGTGTTGGCATGATTATCCGTAGAAATATAATATTATCCATAGAAATGTATATGTGATTATCGCCCTCTGACAGACAGCTTAACTGAGATCTGAATGTCTATTTCCAATGTCTATTTCTGTTTTTAGCACCATGGGCTCATTTGTCGTATTGTTCCTGGAGCAAAGCCGTGGCGGCGTTGAGTGGTAATTGGGGGGATGATTGTGGGGTTTCATGATAGGCTGGTTTGGGCACCGCCGTCATGGCTGCACATAGTCTGTGATTACTGCCAAGATTAAAAAGTCCTTTGCACTTGTCATGCTCATTTTCATCCGTCTGAGTCTCTCCTCTCTCTCATCTGGGGTGTATTCATTACTCCAAACAGTTGCAAAACATTCTGTTGAATCTGTCCAATAGAAACACTAGTTTGTTGCAAAACAGAACGTTTTGCAACTGTTTGGAGTAATGATTACACCCCTGGGGTGTATTCACTAGGAAACTAAACGAACAAAACAGGGAGGGACCTACCTGAATTTGTCTAATAAAACTCTTGTTTCCGTTGCAAAATGTTTTGGACTAATGATTACACCCCTGGTGTTATAGTCTAGAGTAGGGCCTAACCAGGTCAAGCTGAGTGAGGAGGACCTGGGTCACATTCATTAGGGACCAAATGGAAGAAACCGGACTGAAACAGAAAGGGACTACCTGGACTTACCTGAATGAACATGACCCTCATTCTCCTGTAGGACTGGGCAATTAGACTTAGATGAGTGTCCCAATATGATTGGGGTAATATTGAGACATGGGACACATCTCATCAGTTGGTCATGAGTGAAAGAGAAATAGAGAATATTTTTTTTGGAAAGGATTTGATATGCTTCAATAAAATGGTGGAAATCTGTCCATGTCTCGGAGGTCAAAACCATCCTTCTACAATGTTGTTTCCAATACTCTCAAAAACATTCTCTCACATCTCACCCACAACCTTTCACTCAAAGCAGCAGATATGAAAGGGACTTGATAGGTGGTGGGAAAAACCTGTTCATATATCAGTGGTTCCAAAAAGAAGAAGGGGTGAGCTTCTGAGAGTACTGGAGAGTAGTGTTGCTGTTGTGGGAGTATTTCTTGAGTAATTATTTCATTTTTATGGCAGTTAGACACATTGCTGATATGTTGTGAATCTGTGTTACACTAAATAACTGTGTTTACCTGGCAACTAATTATCTGTTTTCCTATTGGCCAACGCTTTAATTGTGTGGAGTTAAGCTTTATTGATACAGGAAGAGAGACAGTTCTTGTTCCGGTGGCTGATGGTGTTCAATGTGGTTTGACCATTAAAGCTGCTAAATAGTTATCCGTCTCCACCCAGTCCTTGCTCCTACAGAAAGTCATCCATCCACCTGTACTCGGACCCTCAACTTACTCGGTGATGGAGACAGTGAACCATTCCTATCTGATTCCTCCACTTACTCTATGTTTGACGGCTATGATGACAGCTATGATGACGGTTATGAGGACGGTTATCATGACAGCTATGAGGACAGCTATGATGACAGCTATGATGATGGCTATGAGGATGGCTATGAGGACTGCTATGAGGACTGCTATGATGATGGCTATGAGGACTGCTATGAGGATGGCTTTGATGACAGCTATGATGGGAAAGGGGATACCTAGTCAGTTGCAAAACTAAATGCATTCAACCAAAATGTTTCTTACACATTTAACCCAACCCCTCTGAATCGGAGAGGTGCTAGGGCTGCCTTAATCGATGTCCACATCATCCGTGCCCGGGGAGCAGTTGTTGTTGGGGGTTAACTGCCTTGCTCAAGGGCAGAATGGCAGATATTTCCACCTTGCCGGCTCAGGGATTCTAACCAGACACCTTTCGGTTACTGGCCCAACGCTCTTAACCGCTAGGCTACCTGACAACTTCTTAAACATGTCAGCACCTAGCATATTACACAACCAGTGGCTAAAAGCCTAAACTTCCTACAAGCAGTAAAGAGCATGAAGACTCTCTCCTTTTTCAGCACCGTCCGACTGTGACAATCATGATGTCATTAAAATGAGACATGGAATATTCCTGTCAAAAGTGATGATTCATCCAGTTCAGTTGATTGCCTTTTCAATATTGCGTGATTTGATGTGATGTGATGCGAAGAAAATCAAATGCAAGTGCATGTGTTCCTGATTACTTCAAGACCTGTTGGATAATGTGTCAACATGATGAATGGCTTGTTTTGGGAATTTACAAAAACCTTGGTTTCTGAAATGATTTATAATCTGTTGATTCCATGTTATCCTTTTGCTTGTGTTTGTTATGTAGTGAGAAAATCACTCAGTGCCCGTTTTGCTTTCCATGTCAGTATGTATAACACTGACCTCATCCAGACTTAAACTACGTCCCAAATGGCACCCTATTCCCAACATAGTGCACTACTTTTGACCAGAGCCTGTGGTCAGAAGTAGTGCACTATATAGGGAATAGGGTGCCATTTGGGATGCAACCCTAATGTATAATCGCTGTGCTACATTCTTGTTGCACCGCACATCCACACTACAGTGTCACATGCCCCAGATGGTAGTGACCCCTAAACGCCGCTATGTTTTAACTATGACACCGAAGATTGTGGACCAGGGTTCAAACAGTGTTTGAGAGATTTCAAACAGTGTTCAATTGAGTCTGCCTGGAGTGCCAGATGGTCTGGGGTTTGCACTTTTAGGACTAGTCTATTGGTTCCATTGCGCCAGACAATCTCAATTGAGCTCAGCATAAGTATTTAAAAGCTTCCAAATAATAATTGAACCCATTTTTGCA